ATCACAGTTCAACACGTGGCAAGATAAGGAGAATACGAGAAGACAATTTAAATCTTCAATCATAATCACGCGCGTCGTAGTTAGTATTGGTTATTGTAGATCTACAAAGCACTAGATCAACAAGGAGATGCAAGATGACGTGGCTTTAACGATTATACATATATTTAAATTCAAAATCATCAGGGAAACCTAACTGCAAATATGACATAGTGGAACTAACTGTAAGGAAACATCAGCGATCATGGAGGGATGGTTCGACAGTTAGAAGTTCATTTCGACGGTTATCATTGAGAAGTATAAATAGCAGAGAAGGCCCCAAAAAGAGCCCTCAGACTCAGATCCAAAAAACTAGTTTTATTTACTTTATTTTCCTTCCAGTTTTTACATTTCTTATTCTTTACACTTCTGTACTTCAAATTCTTGCACTGTACTTCGTTCATAGAAGTAATTTCAAGTAGTTTGTTGCTGTAAATAGGGATGTAATCGGTTCGGGACAGTCGGTGTTTAGGTGAAATTTTGCACCGAACCGATAATGTTGGTTTTATTATATAGAAAACCAATATAGACCAAATTTTTTATCAAATCGCACCAAACCACACCGATTCAAACGGTTCGGCTCAATGCGGTTTAATCAGTTTAAATACTTTCAAAATTGAGTCATTTCTTAAATTTGTAGTATAATAAATAATTTATATAAAAATATTAAATTAGCCATTTGTACACAATTTTAACCATATCTAATCAAACCATTCACAAAAATACAAACAAAAAATTTAATAAAAACTAAGGCTTGAAGCTTTTACTGAATTAGAATTAGAAACAAAATATAATCTCATAACCAAAATCTCAGAGCTATAAGTCTAAACTACAAGTCTATCAAATAGAGTCAAAATGTTCATTATATATTTAATATACATTATATATATTCGGTTGGTTTCGGTGCAAATCGGTGTATAGTATATCAAAACCGGCACCGAATCGAAAATTAAAAAAAATTAATTTCCAAAACCGAACAGACCAATTCATATTAAAAAACTGACCAAATATGACCAGTTTGATCGGTTTAGTCGATTTTTTCAGTTTTTCTTACATCTCTAGCTGTAAACCACTACGAGGCTGATTTGGATCGTTGTAAGTCTTTCATTTTACTTAATGAAATGCTACAATAGTTTTTCATTTAATCGTTGTTTGCTTAATTCTCCTAAACAAAGCCACCAGTAAAAGTCCTCTTCATTGAAGCTGAAAGAACTAAAACACAATCGTCTGATAATTGGTTGGCAATTAATATTCTGTAAGGACTGATTGATCCTTGCTGGCACACTTAAAATTACAATAATAACCTTCGAAAGCAAAAAAGCCAACAATGATTATATTCACAAAGCAATTTACATCTTGTTATTTAGTTCAAGCACACCAATTAATGATATATTCTGATTTATCTCAAAATTGTGGGGGTGTATTTATTATACACCAGCAAGAGAAATTAAGTTTTCTTGGAATGCTTAAAATGTGGGGGTGCTTGGAGAATTTTACCAAAGTAACGGTTCCGATTGTAAGTCCACAAAGAATCTCAATTCTTTCTATAGGACAAAGTTGGAGTATAAGTAAAAATGGTTTCATTAACTCTTAAGGAACAACTCTCTGTTTATTACTTAAATTTGAAAATGGGAGTAACATAGAGTAACGGTAAGTCTCGATGTAATCAAAGACTTAATACCGTAGGACATTTGCTTTCAGTTGTGAATATTGTTTAAGGATAATATAATGGATCCACTAATGATATATAATTGAGAAGGTTAAACGAAAAATAGCGGCCGCTAAACAAAAAGTTTGATCAGAGAGCAAATGAGGGAAAGTTCATCGAGGGGAATGTGATTAAAGCTTATTACACCAGAGTCATTATAATGGTAACCCTACTTAGATGACTGGAGATCCCAAGAACTAAGTTCAAAGAGATAACTAAGTTATGTGTGGCTCGCTAGAAATCACTAAATGAGTCTATCTTCTATCCATTCCTATGATGAGAGTGATATCTGCAACATGTGTTGTATGTAGGGGATTAGGGTAAGCTATGCTTTTAATGATCACTTATATCTTGAAAAACCTAGAGAGGTATTTTTCAAGAGGAGTATTCAAGAGACTTGAAATAAGGATCACCTATATGAGTGTGAAGGGGCCGTTTTTATAAGAAATGATAAGGCTAAATTTTCTAAGGCACTCATAAAACACCAAGACTTGCCCAAGGCCGAAAACGGGCATAACCGTGAGAACTAAGCTGTGTTTGGAGATATTCTGTGTGAATTCTATTGTCGTGACTTACACAAACGGCTGAATAGTTTAAGGCATCATGTCCACAGATTAGCTAGTAAATCCGATAGGCTTTTACCAGGGAAAGTTCAAAACCGAAAACTACCTATCCCGATGCAAGGTATTTCCTTAATTTACTCTCTCTTTGTCTGCATGTTGTTGCATATCCTTTCCGTAAATTTCATTCATGTGGGGGATTATTGAAAATTTTGAATTTAAATTTACTCCAATGGTTGTGTCTTTTGCGATGGAAATGTGCGTCCTTTTGAAAGGTCACAACCTTTTTGAAGAGTCACATAGAAGTCTATGGCCTTGTTTAGTTTGATTTTGAGAGAGTAATTTTGGAAAAAAAAATTCAAAATTTTGTTTGGTTTAGTGATTTTGGAAAACAATTTCCAAAATCACTTTCTCTCTCCTACATATCAATCAATCACTTTTTCTCTCCTCTCTCCTCTCTCCTCTCTCATTCTCAATCACTTTTTCTCTCACATATATCTAATCAACTACAACAAATTATCAAATCATCACAAACTCCCATACTCCAAAACTATTTCCAAAATATACAACCAAATAAACCAAAAAAATTTCTAAACTCTCTCCCAATTTTTTTTTTTTGAAAATTTATCTCCTAAAATCAAACCAAACACACCCTATTAATTCCATCCCCCTCACTTCAATTTGGATAGAGAATTGTCATTTTCTTCTTCACTTTGTATTTATTCTTCATATTTCCTAAGTCTAGTTTTCCTATAAAGAGAGTACATGTACAACGAAGTTCGCTAGGCTTGCAATAGTAGTGCTGCTAATGCAAGACATTGATCGTTGTATTCTGGGAGATAGACGTTCATTGAATCCTAAGCACCGGTGGGAGGACGAATCTATCTTAAAGAAAGACTGTCATACACTCAACTCGATCAGGTTTTATCTGTTTATGTACTGTAGGTTTTATCACGTTATTATGTCGATTTATTTCAGTTTTTGGTTTTGCCCAAAAATCGTTTGCATAATTTTAAATTATATTTTCCATATAGTTCGGTATTATTTTTCTAACAACAATCTAACTCGTTACACTTTCAAATTTTATTTTTTTATTTTTTATTTTTATAATTTATACAATTCCTTTATTATCCTCCTCTTTAATCTTCCTCCATCTCCTTCTCTTTACACTCAAAACCTAAAAAACCCTAACTTAGTTCTCTCCCAAATAATCATGGAAAAAATTCAGAAAATCTCTAATTTGGACATCTTAGAGTATCAAATTGATGAGAACATTCGAGCAAAATGAGAAATAAACACAAACTTCGAACTCTATTATACATTCCAATTTCAAAAAAAAAAAAAAAAAAACCAAGACAGATTATGTATCTATACCCACATATTGTCAAACATAATGAGCTTTGTTTTCACAAAAAAACAAAAATCATACAAAAACAATACCAGTAATTTCCGAACGAGCATCACGTTGCTAGCATGAGCAGCGAGGAAAAGAGCGATGACCCCAGTCCTGAACTCTTCAAACTCGAATTGAATTTCACTAGCAGACTCATTGCGTAACACAATCTCTGTGTTACCAAATCTGTTAACAAATTTGAAGGAAGAAGAAGAAGAAGATGGAGAAAGAGGAGGAAGGCGGTAACGGCGAAGGAAAAGTGTGAGGCGAAAAGTGGTTAGGTAGAGACAAAGGGTGGTGGCAGAGTGGCGGCACCGATAACAGGCCGGTAGGGGTGGTGGTGATAGAGGAGAACTAAGATTAGGGTTTTTTTAGGTTTTGAGTGTAAAGAGAAGGAGATTGAGGAAGATTAAAGAGGAGGGTAATAAAGAAATTGTATAAATTATAAAAATATTAAGGTATGGTTTGTGATGATTTAAATAAGTGTATTTTTTTACTTTTTATGAAATATATGTTGGATATAGGTTAATTTTGAAGTAATGTGGTAGAAATGTAATGTGACTTAAACAAAATAGTGACTTTTTAACTTTTTAACTTTTTTAAGTTATGATAAATTAGGACTAAATAAAAAATAAAATTTGAAGCTGTAAAAGAGTTAGATTGGTGGTCTAAGTAAAATCACTCTTAGAAATAATATAAAAAAAAACAACGCTGCTACAGGGCCCGAACATTTTAAGATCGAAATTGGCTTGAAACCCAAAACGATGTCGTTTTGGATTATCTTACCGGTAAGAGAATTGTAATATATCTTACCGGTAAGAGAATTTTATTACATGTTACCGGTAAGAGAATCTAAAACGATGTCGTTTTAAATTTCGAACCAATTTCAAGCTAAACAATTTCGGGTCCTCAAATATTTTTCAAAAAAAAAATCATAATTCCTTGAATGCCCGAGCAATGGAGCAAGGAAGGAAGACGGGTCCGATGCGGGGTATTCCGGTAATTTAAACAAAAGGTTTGCGATGAACGCAAGCATCATCGGTCTCTCGACTAATCTCTCTCTCTCTCTCTCTCTCTCTCTCTCTCTCGATATCAAATATATACATTCAATATATACATCAAAACTCTTTTTTGCGAATCATCACAACTCTTTTTTGTGTTCTGATTCTGAATCCTCATACCCTCAAATTCTAGGGTTTCTCTACTTCATCTCTCTCTCTCCCTCTCTCGGTATCAATATATACGCACACACATACATTACAGGTACGTAGAGAGAGAGAGAGAGAGAGAGAGAGAGAGAATAATGAGTGAGAATGGGAAATTGATGCCGAATCTGGACCAAGAGAGCACCAAACTTCTAAACTTGACAGTTCTTCAGCGCATGGATCCCTTTGTCGAAGAGATTCTCATCACTGCTGCTCATGTCACCTTCTATGAATTCAACATTGACCTCACCCAATGGGTACACCTTCTCTACTCTATCACACTCAGACCTCCTCTCTCTCTCTCTCTATAAATATTTATATATATATATGTATATATGTATATGTTCATGTATGAGCTCTCTGATTGGTTGTATTTGTTTTGTTTATGATGTCATTCACTTGTAGAGTCGCAAGGATGTTGAAGGATCTCTATTTGTCGTTAAGAGGTAAGATTTAGTTTTTCTATTTTTTGGAAAGAATTTTTGGATTTTGCCTTTTGGGCTTCAGTGTGTTTGTGTAGTGCAATTTTTTGGTCTGAAGAGTTTTGTGAAAATTTCAGGAATACTCAACCTCGGTTCCAGTTTATTGTAATGAACCGGCGAAATACAGGTCAGCACTTTGTTCTTTTTCCTTAGAAAGCTTATGATAAATTGTGTAGGTTTTTAAATGTCTGTGCATTGGAAAATTTGATTATCTCTCTATCTATCTATCAAGATGTTAGTGTACCTTAGTATGGACTTTAGATAGGTGTTTCAAGTAATCAAGTCAGCTTAAATCAATGTATTGAAAGAAAATAACCTAAGTTATGGGTATTCCTGAAGCAAATTTTATTTCGGAGTTTACACTTCAATTTATTAAGAAAATATATAAGCTTCTCGTGTTTAGGCTTTGTGAGTCAATCCGATCTTTTCTGTTTTTCATGAGATGTTATAATTGGAGGGCAATTTGTTGTGTTTACTAGTAAAGCAATATTTTTCGCCTTTCACATGAATTAGAGATAGAAATTTCATATTTTTTCTAAATCTTAGTCAATTTCAGGTATATTTCTATATAATTTATAACACTTCAGCTGAGAATATTATATAATATGCAATATATGTGTATATGATCATCCCCGTGCCCATATCTTATTTTGGATACGTATCCCAAATCCTAAGATTTAAAAATTTATGAAGGTCTGACGCTTGGATATACATCCACCTAATACTTGTATCCGAGTCCATGTAACATAGGCTTTGGCAATTACACTTATTCATATTCTTTTTATAAATCTTTTTTGGACTTTTTTACCATTCTTTTATGATTCAGTTGTCTGGAATTTTTGCCTTTTGTATATACATGATAACAAAATCCTGGCATTTACTTTTCCAAAAACAGCCCCAACTTGCATTTGGACAAAAATCAAATGTACACTTTCAAATGTTAGACACCAGTGATGCCTTTCCCTTAATTGTGCATTGGTAATTGGACAAGCATTCTCTATTCTTTCCCTGCACCCGCTTCCCCTTTTCTCCCTATTTTCTATTCTTTTTTTGATGGTAGGTCTCTTTTTCTGTCCTATTGTCAGCACGACTTAAGTATTAATATATCTTTACTCCAGTCAAAAGGACTGTAATAACCTCAGTACATGAATTTGAGACCTTAGAATGTTGACATGCTAAGATAATGAACTGTTAACATTTATGAGCAGATAATTTGGTAGAGAATCTCTTGGGAGATTTTGAGTATGAAGTCCAAGGTCCATATTTGTTATATCGGAATGCAGCCCAAGAAGTAAATGGTATATGGTTTTACAATCGACGGGAATGTGAGGAGGTTGCTAATCTCTTTAGCAGGTATTTCCATTTCCTTACGGTTGCAACTCATGGATTATAGACTTTTTAATATCTAACAATTCCTAGTAGGGAAATTAATTTTATTTTTATTAATGGTTTTTTTGTTTTTATTGGCAACGGGCTTTTGTTACAGATACATGTGATTCTTTTTTGCCTCTTGAATACTCATTTGCGATAGCTAAATGCCTTTGGAGCTATTGATATAGACAGCCATTAAGTAATACTGTTCTTTGTGTTTGTGTATGGGCAGGATACTAAATGCATACTCAAAGGTGCCTCCAAAATCCAAGGTATCTTCAGTGAAAAGGTAATAAGCAATTAATGCTTATTTCTTCTTCCCTCTCTCTCTCTCTCTCTCTATATATATATATATATATTAATTTATGTTCTCAATATGCATGATTTGATGAAACTCATAACATCTATTTTATACATGTTATGTAATAACCATTGCATTTTGGCCGGAAGGAAAATGGAGATACATAATAGGAAATTTGTTAGCTTTATAACTAGTAACAAAGTTAGGATAGTAGTAGGCAAGGTTCTGAAAAGCTGTTGCGGTCGCCGTAACGGTGGCAATGGCGCGGTTGCGGTTGCGGTTGCGGTTGCGGGGTGTAAAGGTCGTAGCGTAACGGTTGCGGTAACCGGAACAGTAAATTTTTTTATTTTTCGCACAATTTGAAAAAATTTACCGATAAACACATCTTTTTTTTCCATGATCATATTTATTGGGTTTTAAAATAAATATTAATCATTTTTTGTAAATTTTTAAGTTTGATTCAATATATTTCATATTTTTAAATCACTATAAACTGAGTTTTTTACATTTTATTTTAATAATTAATGACTTTATATTATACAAAAAATCAATTACTAACTATTATATGTAAGATAAATAATGACAAAAGTAAGAGAATAAATGAAAGTCTATATATATATATATTTTTTAATTAAGCAAAATAGATAATGACTACACTTATTATTATTATTAAACAATATATAGATAGATACACATAAACAAAATGGTTGAGTGATCGCAGCTGAATAGAATAGTATAGGTCTTACAGTTTCAACAAATCAATAACATGTTCTTCCCTCTTCTCTCTCTCTATCTCTTGCTCCTCCATCTTTCCTCTTCACCTTCTAGCTTCTCTCTCTGTCTCTCTTCTCCCATTTTTCAACTTTTTTTTTTTTTTTTTTTCGAAAGAAGCAATTTGGAACCGTTATGTAGCAAGTCTTTACGACACCATTACGACCGCTATAGCAGCTGCTACGGCCGACACACCTGTGAATCTCAATCACATTGCAAAAGCGGCCGTAACAGGTGGCGGTAACCACCACAACCATTACGTAACGGCATTACATAACGGTTGCGGCCGCTTTTTAAAACATTGAGTATGATGGTCAAACTAATTGAGGTCCCAATTATGGTTTCAATCATAAGTTATTTGAAAATCCAGAAGGCTAGTCTCTAGTGGTGTTTTGTAACAACCTGTGATGACCAACTTCATATGGATTTGTTGCTCTTTCGCTGCCATCATGACTAACATACATTCATTTTGACATGTGTCATGATTTTAATATTTGGTTGCTATTTTCTGAAAATTATATATATTTATGCCTCGATGCAGTGAGTTTGAAGAATTGGAAGCAGTCCCGACTATGGCAGTAATGGATGGTCCTCTAGAGCCACCTTTGTCAACTGCATCCAACATCACAGATGTTTCTGATGACCCACCCTTCGTGAATTTCTTCAATGTACACTCTTGTTAATTACACAACTCGGTCCCAATATCTTAATTATGGTTTTATTTTCGAACTGTTATCTTAATTATGATTGCAACTCTCTTATTATTCACATTTGTTCATTGCATTGAAAACATGTTGATATACAGTTTTGAGTCATGTCATAATGATTCAAGAACCTGCCTTCACATCACTGTGATACACGTATTGGGAATCCAATTAGTTAAATAACTTTATACTAAATGTTTTCCATACAATTTGCTTCCTGTTTTTTTCTTATTTTTTTTATTGTTTTTTTTAGAAACGTACTAAATTGCTAATATTATATGCGTTCGGACTTCTGAAGTGTTCCAATATCAAGACAGTTTATTGTTACTGGTCCTTTTGTGAAAATATTATACAATAAAATTTCTGCATGAAGGGATGGGATTATCTTGTTTTTGTGCGGCTAGTAATGTGATGGGGAAGCTGATGAAAAGCTATTACTCGTGTCACAGTGTTTGCTAATACTATAAACATAGTGAGAGGGCATTATACAATACGAGTATGCATACAATTCCATTTCTATACCCATAGGCATGTAAATTGTAGAAGAAAATCATATTGGCATTCCTCTACTATGACATGCATCAGAGCCTATATGCCAAATGAAAGTCGATATGGAATTACCTTGAAATACATGAGGGGGACACTCTAAATATATAGATTTATATATTACTTGTATCTCCTATTTGTGAATGAAATATAACAAAAACAATGCAACATAACACTAATTTCTAAACTTGATTTTGAGGGATAGTTCAGGGGGTTAAATTGAAGGGATTCTGTTTGATTACAGACAGCAAGTGATGGCATGGGTTACATTGATCCAAATCAGAATAGGTTAGATGTAAAATTGATATAATTAAAAAGATGAGGGTCAAATTGATTTTTTGGGGGGTATACTGAAATTTACTCCCTTTTTTTCCTTCTACTTTTTATGTTTTGTTTCTGCTGCATTCAGAGTCCTCTGTTTCGTTTGTGTTAGCTATATTTTTTTTGTAAACCAGTGAAGAATTGTATAACCTGGAAAAGGAATCTTTGTCTAAAGATATATCCTTTTCAAACTTCATTGTTATGCCGGATGTTGGAATTATATAGTTGTAATTTAAATTTTTTGTTCTCTTGTCACTTACATGCATCTGTCTGTGACTCAATCTTGTAATGATATGTTTTTGCAGGCGGCCATGACTATTGGGAATGATCCAAATGTTGCAAGGACCGGACAACCTTACCAGTGTTCTGCAGTGATTCCTCCTCCTCGCCCACCCATTGTTCCTCTGCCCGTACCAACCATTCAGGGACCGCCATCTCCTATGTTAACATCCACTTCTTTAATTTCCCACCTCAATACCCCTGAAAGTAGCAACAATAGCAATCAAGCCACAAATCTTGTAAAGCCATCATCATTTTTCAGTCCTTCCTCTTCTGCGCTGATAATGCCAGCCATCTCTTCATCTATGCCAAATGCTCCTCTGTTTAATCATTCTGGGACTCTGCAACGCCCATATGGTGCTCCATTGCTTCAACCATTTCCCCCACCCACTCCCCCGCCATCTCTTACTCCAACTTATATTTCCACTCCAAATCATGGGCCTGTTATTAGCAGAGAAAAAGTCCGCGATGCCCTTCTGATTCTTGTTCAGGTATGTCTATTCTGACCTTCGCAATTGTATACCTGTACATTAAGTTGCCCTTTAGTTTTTTCTCGTAACTGGTACAAACTGAACGGGGATTTTCCATAAATAGTTGTTGAGATTTAGTGATGGCTTCTAAAGTAGCAAGTGAGGAATCAATCTCCACTCTAAATACAACGATGAATTTCATACTCGTTGAAGTATTTATCTAACCACATTTCCCAGTTTGTCTATTAGAAAAAGCTTTTCCACTTGCTATAGTGTGTTCAATTGGTAATCAACATTATGGATGATAGGTTTCTTAGCCCAGACTTTTAGGTGTACTAAGATAGACATGAATCGTGATGGACAAAGACATACCAGAAAAGTGGGTGAGTTATAGAGATGCCCTCACATATCTTTGAAGGTGTTATTATGAAATCATGATTGTTCATCGTCGCAAGTCGCAACTGATTTATGACTCAGCTGATTTACAATAAGTTTCATGTGCATTGAGCTTTAGACTATCGCACCAATTGTGGGTTGGTTTAGGGGTATTGTTATCCCTCCTCTCCCCTTGGCATGGCATTTCCAAAACCCAATGAATCTGTTACCATGGGAAGCTTTTCTTGACAGGATAAAGAAAGAATAATATTATAAGCACATCATTTTTTATTGCTTGTTCACAATGATAGTGGGCCCACACCATCCGATAATGTGGGCCCCGATCCCATTGCAAGTGATAGAAAGTATGACGGATAAAGAAAAGAATCAGATAAAATCAGTGGGAATTATCCTACAAGGGACACTGCCTCTATTTCTGGAGTTATATTCTCTCTCTTTTTGGGGCTTTCCGGGTTTGAAATGATTAACCACTATACTATAAAGCAACGTTTGTTTCAGATTATCAAGTTTGACCATGATACTCTTGCCAGTGTTGCAAATTACTCTGATTGCTATCATCAACCAAGTCACACATTGGTCGGTGTAGATTGCAAGGCTTTATGCAGATCTATTTTGATGCGAACTCTTCTTTAATCCTCATTTGATTGTATAGTTTGCCTTGTCTGATTAGCCATCATTTTTTGTTTTTGTTTTTGTTTTTTTTTTTCCCTTTGATCATAGGACAATCAATTCATTGACGTGGTTTACCGGGCTCTGCTGAACTCACATTACTCCTGAGAGATTTGAAGAATCCGAATCCATTTATTTGGTTGATTTCTCTTCGACCCCATCCAGAAAAGAAGCAAGGGGATGTGATTTTCTCACTATTTGTGTAGTTTTACATCCCACTTTACTTAATACCCATTAATTTTGTATAGCTTTTTATCTTCATAGGCTTAGATGATGGGAATACCATACTTTTTAATATATATAATTGTATGGCTTCATTTAATTTTGTGATGTAGAAAAATAAAAATCGCATGAATGCTACTTCGGATTGGCTTGAAGGACTGTGGCCCAGTTTGGTCTGGCCCAGCAGGCTTTTGCTTGGCTGAATGGGGCTGGGCTTGGATTAATGCCTGGCCTGACCCGTTGGCCACATGAGACAACCTGTTGGCTCATCATAGGTGGCCCGTAAACCCGGCCCCACTAGTCCATCAGAAAATATAAAAAAATAGAGGGGACATTTCCCAATAAGGCCAAGTTTGGGATGTTTAGAAAAAGTCAAAAAGTCAAAAAGTTACTATCCTATTTAAGTCACATCATCTTATTTAAGTCACATCACCTCTCTAACACATCACTTCAAACCCAACCCAAACCCAACCCATATTTCATAAAAAGTCAAAAAGTACACTTATTTAGTCTTCCCAAACTTGGCCTAAGTCTCATACATAAGTCTCATACATAAAGTTTAAAATCTATCTAATTCCAAAATAAAATATTTGCACCAATTAGTCTTACATATTTTTAGTTGTTATAAAAAGTTCTTTCTTTTTTTTATTTATTTATTATTTTTTTAACTTTAAAAATGTTGTTACATTCAACAACTTCTGTTAGACTCACTGAAGACTCGTTGGGAAGTCGCCGGAGCATCACCGGAAGTTCGCCGGAGTGTTTTGAATGTCATTGAAAAATGTCAAAAATATCATCGAAGATTCACCAGAATATTCAGAATATTGTCAAAAAAAAAAATAAATGAAGAAATTATAATTAAAAAACATAATAACAACAAACAACAATGGGAAAAAGTAAATATTATTTCAATTTTTGTAGGATTTAAGCAAATAATTAGTAATATTGATCAAACTGAAAAGCAAATTTTGAAATTGTAAAATGTTACATTTTCAAAGCATTATTCTATGAAGTTAGAAAACATGTTATGAAACTGTAAAATTTTACGGTTCTAAAGAATGTTATGAAATTGTAAAATTTTACAGTTTTAATGCTTGATTCATTTTAGCACAAAAAAGGTTGAAATTGTAAAATTTTACAATTTTTACCGCTTGTAAATAAAACTTAAAAATAGTTTATTCAGAACTTGAAATTTTTTTCCATTAAAACAGAAAAATAGATGTGTGTAACAGAGAAAAGTTAGAAAAATCGAGAAATCGAAGGAAAGAATAGATATAGAAAAGAATAGATATAGAAAGAATATTGTACTTTGACAATTATTTTTAGTTTAGATCTAGTCGGATCTCATGTAAATCTACTCAAATTTGATATAGAGTAGATCTGATGTAGATCTCCATCAGATTTGAGTAGATCTGCTCATCTCCTTCGCCGTCGGTAATGATGAAGTCACGAGTTGATATCGGTCGTTGGTAGTCGTGGGTTACCGGTGACTATATATTAGAAAGAGAACGAGAATAAGGAATGTGTGATCATAGATCATTGGACATGACAAAGAGAATGAGAGGAAAACGAAAAAAAGAAAAAGAAAAAAAAACTTAAAGAATGAGACAAAAAGCAGAGAGAGAGAGAGAGAGGAAAATGTGTAAGATTTTTGAATCTACTCAAAAAATTGATGAATTAAATAGTGTACATATATTTCAAATAGGACTTACGGATAATTTTCCCAAAATAGAGAAACAATTCAAAAAATCAAAAAATAGTGTCCACGCTAGGCTGTTGAGCTGCTCTGCTTTTCCAGTGTGATTTACTTTCGACTTGTTCATTGTATTGTTACTAATCTCTAACTTCCAATAAACTTTCTACTCAATTAGTTTTGGAGCAAAATAATTTTTGGAAAGTCTTTCCTAAATAAATTATTTTCCTGCGTTCCTTTTGGAAATTTTTTCAGTTTTCAGATTTTAATTTTAACAAAGAACACTTAATTCCCCATCTAAAAAAACAAATAACACTTTAATTACTTAGATTTTAGTCAATTCAACAAACAGGAAACGGTTTGTACCGAGAAAAAATTACACTTCATCTGTTCAATTATGACTCATAACCTTACAGTGTTTGAGATGAAGGACGCAATTTGTTGCTAGAAATCAATTAACCAACAAAGAATTGCCAGAAATAACTTTAACAAAATTCAAATAGGAAAAAAAGAATTCCAATCATAACACCATTCATGGCATCTGTTTTTCATTAATGAAACAATAATCATTCTCATAATACACTAATTACTTATCAATTCGCACTGACAATCTATAGGGAAAATAAAATATGCCTGCAAACTGTCATTACCATCTAACCTTCGATCATACACATTTACTCTGACCAACTCACTTGGGCGCGTAAAGGGGGAATATTTTAACAATATTTTATTAACCTTAATATTATTTTGTTTGTATCTCAACCTCAATTGAGAAAATAAATCCTTAATATTCTTTTGTTTATATCTCAACCTTAACTGAGAAAATAAATTAGGCAACGCAAATCCAATACAACTAAAATCACGTGCTGAAACATTTTCAACAATACCAATTTTTATATCGTCAACCTCTATCCACCTGAACATTACAAATAAAATTGCTTATAAAAAAATAATTCTACATAGTTTTAAAATACATTTGACTCCTTAATATAATTTTGCATTCTTTTCCGCTAACAGTAGCAGCCACTAAATGTATCGCACCCTTCTAAATACTCCCCACATTTTCCAAAAACGTATCTTTCTAGTCCGTCCAAACATCTACTGCCCAGAACCGATCTACAACCTCTATGTCGTGTCAAATATACTCTTTGTCCTTGCTACCGACAAGCTTTAATCTTAATATTTTAGCAACCTTAATACTTTTTTGTTTGTATCTCAATCTCAACTGAGAAAATAAATCTTTAATACTCTTTTGTTTATATTTCAACCTCAACTGAGAAAATAAATTAGGCAATGCAAATTCAATACAACTAAAATCACTTGCTGAAACACCTTCAACAACACCAGTTTTTATATCGTCAAGCTCCATCCACCTGAACATTACAAATATAATTGCTTATAAAAAAAAACAATTATAAACAGTTTTAACATACATTTGACTCCTTCACATAATTTTGCATTCTTTTCCGCTAACAGTAGCAGCCACTAAATGTATCGCACCCTTCTGAATACTCCCCACATTTCCCAATAATGTATCTTTGTAGTTCGTCCAAATATCCACTGGGCAGAACCGATCCACAACGTCTGCCTTGTCAAATATACTCTCTGTCCTTGCTACCGACAAGCTTGAATCTCAATATTTTATCAACCTTAATACTCTTTTGTTTGTATTTCAATCTCAGCTGAGAAAATAAATCTTTAATACTCTTTTGTTTATATCTCAACCTCAACTGAGAAAATAAATTAGGCAACGCAAATTCAATACAACTAAAATCACTTGCTGAAACATCTTCAGCAACACCAGTTTTTATATCGTCAACCTCCATCCACCTGAACATTACAAATACAATTGCTTATTAAAAAAAACAATTATAAACAGTTTTAAAATACATTTGACTCTTTCACATAATTTTGCATTCTTTTCCGCTAACAGTAGCAGCCACTAAATGTATCGCACCCTTCTGAATACTCCCCACATTTCCCAATAACGTATCTTTGTAGTCCGTCCAAACATCCACTGGGCAGAACCGATCCACAACCTCTATGCCGTGTCAAATATACTCTTTGTCCTTGCTACCAACAAGCTTAAATCTCAATATTTTATCAACCTTAATACTCTGTTGTTTGTATTTCAATCTCAACTGAGAAAATAAATCTTTAATACTCTTTTGTTTATATCTCAACCTTAACTGAGAAAATAAATTAAGCAACGCAAATTCAATACAACTAAAATCACTTGCTGAAACACCTTCAATAACACCAGTTTTTATATCGTCAACTTCCATTCACCTGAACATTACAAATACAATTGCTTATTAAAAAAAACAATTATAAACAGTTTTAAAATATATTTGACTCATTCACATAATTTTGCATTCTTTTCCGCTAACAGTAGCAGCCACTAAATGTATCGCACCCTTCTGAATACTCCTCACATTTCCCAATAACGTATCTTTGTAGTTCGTCCAAATATCCACTGGGCAAAACCGATCCACAACGTCTACCCTATCAAATATACTCTTTGTCCTTGCTACCGACAAGTTTGAATCTCATTTTCTTCAACCTACGAAACTTATCGGACTGATCAGGATCAACAATCCAAGTCTCAGAATTACCCTCACCGACACCAATAAATATCTTATCAGGTGGGGATGAAACTTGATGGACTATTATCACTTATGATGAATAAAAGAACGTGATGCACCACAACTTCCTCTTTTGCGTCTTGTCCCAATTAAACATTCACAATTAATTTTATACCATTAACCACGATTTTGTCTGATTGACGATCACATCTTTTATTTCCCAATTCAATCCCATTTAGCAATCTCACCACACCTCTGCTGTCAAATGTAACGTCCCTTAATTGTTCATCATGCAATTATAACTTCTTTACTCCCCTCTTATTCTTTTTAATGTATTTCGAAATATTATGTACATACCGTCTGCGAACATACGCCGCTCTAATAGGTGCATGACCACAATAACTATGTTTATATCTACTGACTGCTGGTGTTCTTGACCTCCGATACGCAAGAGGAGTCCGATACTGACAGCTTACTACTCTTATTTTTTAAAAAACACTTTAACTCTTTTATCCTAACACTTCTATAAGATCTGTTATCTCTGTTAACCCTTTTGTTACCTTAGTTTTGATATTTTTGTCCTTTGTTCCTCATACTCGTGAATAAACTTCGCTGGAACTGACAACCGCCTCTCTTTCCAAAGTCTTGTTTGTCATGTCAAAAAACGATTTACACACATTTGAGTGATCTACACACATTTGATATACAACATTGTATACCAAAACAATCAACAACAAAAAAAAGAACAAAACAAGGTACCAAAAAACAAAGTCACCACAATAGCTATCCCACTACAAAAACATATTTCTTTACACCATCAAATATTTTCTGGTACCAAATAAATAGCAAAATTGCCCCGTGAGTAAGTACAAAGATTCTCCATTCAAAATAATTCAGAAACACAATCATTTTCCCTCCACTTTTTGTCAATTGGTTTGTTTTTATCTTTATACACGTGACACGTAAACCACTATCCTGCAAAAAATCAAAAGAACTCACATCACCCACACCTAGTCCCGGGTGTGACTTCCTTTACACCACAACCATACATGTGTCTGCAGTCAAAGGTCTAATGTCTAGACACTCTTCCATTCCTGCCATTGGTGATCCCCACTTTTCAAGTCCAAAACACACACACAAACACACGCAAAGCATGCAAGAAAACAAGCCTTAAAGTGTTTCATAGAAAAAGCCGGAAACAAGATTACATTTGCTAACTGACATATCTCAACAAAATTGTTTCTCTTTTTTGGGCAGCTAAAATTGTCTCAAAATATATAAATATCTACCTAAAGGTCAAACAGTAAAACGATATCTCTCGTGAAAAGATATTAACGTACATGAGGTAAGAAACCGTCAATGAACTCACTCAAAGGTGGACCAGGTATAAGCTACACGGACGATCAGCAGTTCAGAAGAAGACTTCAACCTTTATATCTCGCTGCAACCATCATCAAGCAGTTTTTACTTTACGAGACGGAGGACGGCGGAATAGACTGATGAGATCATCAAGACCCTGTTGAGCAACATCAGCATTATTAGGTTTTGTTTTTTGTGTTAATCATTAAACCTCACAATATCCTTTATAAAAATGAATAAATAAATAAAAACAAACAAACAAACATATATAAAATAAAATAAAAAAAGGTGTTAGTGGGATGAGAAATTATACTCTGGTGGTGATAACAAGAAAACTGAAGAGGATTATCAGGTACGATCCCAAAACTAGTAGCAAAAGCAGGTCAAATGTAACACTGGCAACCTGAAATACACATCCAAACGGTGAGCTACTTTTACCAAGAACATTTGTTAAGTAATCATCTTCTTCTGATTTTCTAACAATATTTTTAATGATGTGCCAACTATATGTGATTTTCTTTTCCCTTTTTCTGAACTTAAGGAAACATCATTTTAAATTAAGGAGAGATAAGAACAGAATTAAAAGTTAAAATACGGCCATCTAATTCCTTTTGAGCACTTAAAACTTCGACTCAGATCAGAGGGCTTTACAAGTCTGAGAAAACTGGAAGACTCTTCAATGCAAAATACGTATGTACTCAGACTTTTCAATTAATTACATTCAAGTATGACAGGACTGCAACTATTACACTGGAACAAGGAAAAAAGAAAAAAAAGGGTGAGAGGAGGACCTGATAAATGTTAAGCCTTGATCTAGTTGAATCATAGAACGTGAACATCCCATCAAGCACCTCATGCTGTAAATTCACGTCAACTGTATGATCTGCTAATTCCTGGCACCAGATTGATCAAACATTAAACATAGCACAGGAAAAAGGAGAAAAGAGTGTTTTCATAAAAGCACGTTAGCTCTACTTTTTGGCATGAATTTCAAATTAAAATTTTGATCCCACAAGCATACCTCCACGCACATGCACAAACAGCAAGCAAATCAGAAGTGAGAAATTGAGAATGCAATTAGGTATGCAACATTATTTTCTTTTTTCATTTTTCATTTTTCTTTTAATGCCAAAATCAACCTTACAATTCATGTGCACTCCAACAGGACTGACCAAAAGGAGCAATAACAACAATAACACTAATAACAGGAGTATTGGTAGCAGCAAGAAAATGATACTGAATATTTCAAGTATAAACAACTACGGAGTATAGACGAAACTAATTGGTCATGAAAAGAACTCTTAATGAGGTAAGGTGTGGAGGATTGCTCCTCTCAACTTTTTTTTTCTTTTTTGGGTGTTTACAGAAGAGAACATAGAAGATCTAATGAAAACCTTCATCACATAAAAAGAAACATAATTTGTAACATAGTATACCACTTTTTAGTAATACAATGCACGTGTGGGGCCACTCACATAACATTGCTGGGATGCCACCCTCTCTCTTTGATGTTTTAAAAAAGAATTACAAAATATACCATTTTGGTACTAAACAACTAGAATCACAAGTAATTATACAATTTGTACACTTATAAGTACATTTTAATAATGGTTGAACTATTCAGATATCTCTCTCTCTCTCTCTCTCTCTCTCTCTCTCTCTCTCTTTATATATATATATATATATACACACAACTGATTAAACACTAAGGGTGTGTTTGGTTTGTGTTTTGAGATAAATTTTCAAAAAAAAAATTTGGAGAGAGAGTTTAGGGTTCTATTTGGTAGAGCTTTAGAGCCTCAGAACGTTAGTTCCAGGCTTTGATTTGCATACCGTGTTTGTTTACGGTTTTTAAAAATTAATTTCACACTTACTTTTAAAAACTCTGTCGAAGGCTGGAAAATTTGGTCTAACTAGTCGTCCCACCGGACGTCCGGTAGGACATCTCACCGGTCGTCTGGCCGGTTGACCGGAACAGTACGTAATTTTTTTTTTGTGTGCAATTGACACATGTTAATTTTTATATATTCAATAAAAAATATTTTCCGAATTTTTAAAAAAAATTATAAATTTTGAATAGAATTTTGAGTTGTGTGTTTAGTTATGAATTGTAAGTTTTTGTATCAAATATCATATATCACATCAAAAATTTCCCACTCAATTCAAAACTCATTAATCAAACAAATTTTCCACACTCAAATCATAATTCTAAAACTCACAAACTCAAAATACAACTCTATTCTCAAATCATATTTAGAAAATTCTACCAAACGCAACCTAGAATTTTTTTTGATTTGTTTGGTTGTATATTTTGAAAATAGTTTTAGAGTTTGGGAGTTTGAAATAATTTGATATTTTGTTATAGTTGAGTAAATGTGTGTGAGACAATGAGAGAAAAAGTGATTGATTCATGTTTAGAAGAGAGAGAGCGATTTTGGAATTTTCTTTTCAAAAAATTTGAACCAAACAAAATTTTAAAAAAATTTCTCAAAAATTGTATCTTGAGATACAAACCAAACAAGTCCTAATTCTCATTTTTTCTTTAAATTCTTTTAACACAATGCATGTGTGGGGACACTCACATACCATTGCTGGGGACTCCACCCTCTCTCCTCGACATTTAAAAAAAATGTACCCAAAAAAAAGAACTACAAAATATACCACCTATTGGTACTTAACAACTTGAATTTGTACTCTCTCTCTCTCTTTACAACTGATTAAACACTAATTCTCTTTTTTTCTTTTAAAATCCTTTTTGTTTCATGCTTTGTACCTTTATTGCAGGTTACAGTACATACAGGGACATATTGGCAATTACAAAATGGAATCACTTACTATGGATATGAGAAGTAAAGAAAACACCAGTACCTTTTTCAATGCCATGATTAATGGGTCATTCTTTGAGAGAAATGGTGCCACTCGAGGAGTCCGTGACAAAAGATCCAACCAGGATACTATGTAAGAAGGATTGACAGCATAACTACTATTGTCTGCAAATATTTTAATGTTCTTTCCCTGTTGTCCGTAGATATGCCTCTGTACATAATAAAGGGGCACTCACATCAGACAGTTGAAATTGTTAAAGATTATAAACATCATATCTAGCTGCAAAATTTTCAAATGCACAATTTCATGTGTCAAATGTCAAAGAGAAGAAAAGGTTCAAAAATGATATTAGTAAGGAAATCTTTCAAATGTTTCTACATAAATAAAACAGAAAGTTAAACAAGACAAATGCATGCATGCATATATATAGAGAGAGATACATTCATATGTACACGTATACATAAATACATCTTAGTCATCTTAATGAATTTAATTCTTTTATGAAAATTTTTAATTTGAACACAGATAGTGTATATTCTAGTACTGCATCCAATTCTGGAAAGTAAAAAACTCATGTAACAACATTCTGTTAAAACATATATGATTGGTACCATCATTACACAAGTATACATCGTACCATAGATGCATGTCTAAGGGACCGCTAGTGAGATACTAATCCATCTCGTATAAGCCCTCCAAAGCACCTCATGCAAAGTGAAATAACAGAAATTTCAACCATTTATCATTCATTAAACACCATTCCCTCTCTTATTCTTCTTGTTCCTTTCCTCCTTTTGCAAAACACAAAGTTACTATTCTCACTCCAGTAACTGTGCATTTCCAAAGAATAGAATTTTAACCCCTAAACCCTTCCCAATCAAGCCTTAAAGCTTCAAAATCTCCTCCAAATGATAGATTCAGATGGGAAATAGTTAACAGTAAGGTTAGAAGGAAAAAGGTTAACTTTCAGAGCTATGTTGGTTAACAAACTGTTGCATCTACAGATAAAAGTATATGCATCAAACAAGATTGACTAATTGTGGCATGTGGAACTTGGCAATACTAGCCCAACCCTTTAGCAACAATAGCCAGGATGCACTGCACAATCTGTGAAGTGAATTGCAACAAGTCCAAAACGATGCTGGCATTTCAACAAACTCCGCAGAAAATATTTTAGTTACTTTTAAGCTAATTATTTACATTTAGGTATCTGATGATGAAAGCAAATGGTCATGATATTAGGAATACTGATACTTCATAGGGTTCCAAGAGCCTGAGTTCCATAAATGCTAACTGTGTCATGTTCTATTAAGGTTAATATGATTTCTTTCAATGCACATCCCCCAATCATAGATTCTTATCCAAAAAATAAAAATAACAAAATAAATAATAAAACAAGAAAGAAACATATTGATCAAAGGTTCAGCTACTTCCACATCAGAAGAAGAAAAATGCCACTCACAGCCAAAGACAACATGTTAGGATACATACTTCTAAAGAGAGATCAATATCGATGAGTAAGCAAATAATGTGCATTTGCGTGAACAAGAAATGATACAAAAAGACGATGACAAATTTCTACCTCAAAAAATGTCACTATAAACCCTTACCGCTAAACTCTCTGCAACCAACTTGACACTTCTAACAATTGCAGCTTCATTCACAAAATGTCTGTACAAAAAACAAAGTTCTCAACAACTGAAGGAGAGATGTAAAGCTGTTCTGGAAGAAGGGAGTTTAGTTCCAAATCATAACCTGTTATCAAACAAACCCCCAGTGCTTTCTAGCAATTCAGGTGCAACAGACAGTTCAGAAAGGGTCGCTGCAGTAACTCTCAGCCTGGAAAATTGTTCATGCTCCCAGGCTACCTACAGCAGGCTAACAGCTTTATCATCTCATCTAAAGAGCATAATTTTAATACACAAGCATAGTAAGGAAATCATGCTTATGGCAGTACAGAAAACGTTGCAATTTATATATAAATCTGCAATGATTAATTAAAAGCATGGCATTAACAGCAAATTATATGAACATTTTGTCACTTCTGACATGCTTAGCTCATAACAGGCTGAAAGGGCAGAATAGGAATCATAATGGCGAGGAGATCACTTTTGCACAAGAATTATGTTCTTGATGGTGGCGACAGGTAATTGCAAAAATAAGTTATAATAATTGATATCTTAGCTGGTATTAGAGAAGAGCAAATTACATACATAATGCATCTTTGATGTTCTCAGGGGTTTTTTTCCCCAGACAAAAAAAAAAAAAGGGTTTTCACTATGTTCCTGTCCTGTTTTGATTAGAATTTATGTTATATACTGATTTAAACAATTTATGCTTTCAGAAATATCTCCTTACTCGAGTATTAGAAATATTTATTTTCTTGTGCTTGAGACCAACTTGAAGCCCTAATTCTTCTGCTACATTCAAGAAACTTATTTTCTTGTGCTTGAGACCAACTTGAAGCCCTAATTCTTCTGCTACATTCAAGAAACCCTGCACAAAATTCCATCGGTTACAAGAGAAAGTACTGTAGTGCAACTTCATTAAATTTAAGAATGCTTCTATTTTCAATCTATGAAAATACTATTTTCTTACTTCAAATATTTGTTTTATGTAGGCATTTTCTGCAGGCTTAGACACATGAATCCACATTTCATTATCCCATGAGCCAATACTATTCAAGCAGATAGCATAATCAATACTCTCACGTAAACGTTGATCAAAACTTCGAAGCCACTGCACAAGGTAAAGTACAAAATTGAGTCGATGGCAAAATATTTAAAAAGAAATAGAGGTGAAAAGTGTAGTCTAAGAAAGAAGCTAAGCACCTTATGGGTTCCATTGTAATTGTAAGGTCCACCAGAAGTTAGCCCAAAAAGTAAATTGTACCTTCCTCTTGTCCTAGGATTTGAATATAGACGAGAGAATAACCTAGCTATTTCAAGAAGCACCACAACACCACTTCCATTGCTATCACTTCCCACTGATAAAGCCTACAAACATTTAAAATTCAAAGAAAAACTCAGACTTCTTAAAAAAATCATAAAAATTACTTTGATTAAAAATAATTAACTTAGATACCGGAGCCGCCCCAAATGTGTCATATGATGCTACTATGGCAATGGTTGGGAGTTGATTTGAATCTCCATCTGCTTTCAATCCTGGCAACCATCCCTATCAACACAACACGAATAGTTAAACACAAACAATTTCAAACAACAATAAGCATCATCAGTGGGATCTGAAAGCTTAAAAGCATAAAGCAGTCTCCACGCCACCAGTGACCTGAGTGATAAAAGTAGCCAAAGTGGAAGACTGAAAACACAACTTATCTAACAAATCAAGGATCCTCAATTACAACTGAAAAAACAACAAAAAAGAGCTCAGAATAAAAGATCAAGCAAAAACCAAGGACTCAAATATAAAAATCTGAATCAACTTAAGAACATAATAAAAATAAATAAACAACAAACAAACAGCGAAGTTACAGCAAAAAGAGATGGATATTTAATGCAAATTGAATTTTAAGGTGATCTACGAATATCAAATCACAAAGACTTCCACATACTAACGTAAAGTTCTACAATATGAATTCAATCATTCTGAGTGTGTGCGGGTATGAAGTTGAATCTGGACCTGAATATTTGTGATTGTGGGAGATGCAAGTTTCCTAGGTTCTGGTGCTGAAACGACGAGCTTGTATCTGCAATATTTTAAAAGCAAAGATGTGATTGTTGAGATCATCAAGAACAATGACATACTGCCTTAACATTCAGGGGAAAAGGGACCCGAAAAAAAAAAAGAAAAAAGCGGCCAATCATAAAAAAACAAAAGTATGTTGACATGGAGAAGACTACAATTGAGTAGAAAAATATCTACATTCTGCTAATTATACAACAGATAATATAGCTATTTGATCAAATCAGCAGCTCCACAAAGAAATATAACAAATAATCCATTAGCAACAGCTGTAAAAGCAGAAACCTCCTATTTTATAGAAAACCAGTAGCTTTTGTCACAACATCAGCACAAGCTAAAGAAAGGTAAACAACTCCACTGCTTATCAAACTTCCCAATGGTATTAAAATTTGCACAATTTCAGATTCTAACACAACATCCAAATTCAAATTAGTCCAAATTTGGATCAGATAAAATTAACTGAAATTTGGAATATTCTGAAAAATTCAGAGCAACTCAGATTCAGAATTTGGAAAGAAAAGGCCCTCAATATTTTTTTACCAATTTGAAAGTAAATTCAGCCTGTTGAAGTCAGCTGAATTTCAACGTGAGAAATTATATATATATATATATAAGTAAAATTCAGGAATATTCAACCAGATCTTTTAAAAGGTTCAAAACTTCAAAATTTTCAAACTTGGCTGGAAAAAAAAACAAAAAAAGAGTGAATCACAGGTCCTGTTGGTACTCCCCAAATTGACTGAAATACCTAATCCAAATATATAGAAGTTAGAGCACTAGAAACCCATTATCTATGAAGCACGGGTATTTCGAAAAACATGCTGTACCCGTACCGGGTACTTACCGGCGTACCGTACCTCGTATGGTACTTCTGCATATGTACCGAGTACACGAAACACGTACCCAAGTTTTTCTTCTTAATTTTTAACGTACCCAGACGTACCTAGTATATATCTAAGCCGTATCGTACCTCAGTTGAAATAATATTTTTCTTCTATTACAAAGACAAAACTCGTTTCACTAGACTTATTTTTTATTTTTTGTTTTATGCTTAGCATGATTTTAAAATTAAACTATAGTTTGTAAGTTATTTAATATATTGACATTTAATTTTGATTTATACATTTACTTTTGGCATTAAATGTTAAATTGTTAATTATAGGTTGGACCTCAACAAATTAAACCATTTAATTATTTTTTGCATTATTCTAAATTAAAAATAAATATTTTTTTACAAACGTACCAAGCCAAAGCTGTACCCATACCCTATTTTTTTTTTTAATTTTACCGTATCGACGTACCCATATCGCACCAGTACCAGTACTCATACCCGTACCAGTGCTTTATAGCCCATTATAGTAAATGTCAGAGCAATCCTTCTCCACCATATACGTAACTTGTTTATTTCCCCTCAATTTCTTCACTCGTGAAAGTTCTTCTTTAACTTGTTACTCCAGCTATATTTCTATTTTGGCCCTTTGCCCAAGCTAGATAGTCAGGTGAACAAATTCAAGAACCCTCGACACCACTTGTAAGCGCAGAGGGTGGAGACACATTTAAGATACAGAAACAGAATGCAATGCTGAAAAGTAGGTAAATTAATTGTGTACATCCCAAATTTGGGATCAGCACAACGAATAAGGGTAAATGAAAAGAACATAAGAGTATACATTTCAGCAAACTGGACCTAGAAAAAGGCTATATAACCACTCTACATGCCAAAACAAACATAACTTCCAGACAATTAAGTTACAAAATCCATTTAAGACAATGAAAATCATGTAAATGTGAAATCAAGTGTATACTGTGTAGATGATAGTAACAAGATGATACATGTGTTATTAGTAATATGGCATATATTAATGCTTATTAAATATTATAACCATGTTATTTGTCTCTTAGTATTTATTTCATATGGTATGGCCAATATAACTTAACTCATTCTATTATACTATGCTGTCCTATTTTGTCTTAGAAGGTTTCTGCTTTAGTGGGGTTGCTATTTTGCTCATAGTCTTCAATTTTAAGAAATCTGCTCCCAGTTCGTTGATGAGTCCTTGCTCGGGTTGGAATCCAGCTAATTGCTGGTTTAGGAACTTCACATTTTACTGGAATGACACCACACCAAGCACCGCCGCCACCGGTTGCTGACCGGTGACCCTGCAACGAGCTCCGGCCATCTTTTGACGATTCTCCAGTGATCGGACGGTCGTTGGCCGTGACCTCCAGCCACCTTGGCCCTCTGGCCAACCTGTGACCTCTGGCAAACACTCAGGCCACCAACTTTAGCAGCCACTACCTCCGACAACTCACCAAACATGTTTACTTTTGTTTTTATTTATTTCAAAACTTTTGTGTACACAAAACAAGTTATTTGATTTTGTTTTTACCCCCAAAAAAATTGAAACTTGTTTCCTGATTCTTTTCATTGAAAACAGAAAACTGGCAAAGTTATCAAACAACACCTAAGCATAAGATCTTTTGTTCAGCAATGCACTAATTTAATGTCCCTTGATGGCCAAGACATCATGCAGTTCTTACATTAATGATGGCAACCCTAATATGATGAAATAGAACCAAGGACAATGCTCCTAAACCAATAAAACATTTATTAAGGGCCTTTGAAAAGAGAAAGTAGGGTGCAATGGATCGGACTACTTCAACTGCCAAACAACCTTAAATACACTTTAAAGTACCAAACAATTTCTGGACCCTCTGACAAAAAAGTGGGTACAAGTACTATTTACAATGTGCAAAATAGGAACGGGCATGCAATGCGCACCTACCCACTCAAGAACATAGTATCATGGGCTTAGGCTTGCTATCTTACCTAGAATGATTTAATCAGAGATAGAATATGATGTAGTTTTACTTGAAACACCAATTTCCTTTTAGTTTGACAAAAGATGGCGTATTAAACATTAGCTTTAAAAAGCATAATTTAAAGCATGTTTGGATCAATTTAGCCACACAAGGCCACCCAAAATTAAAAAAAGGAAACATACTTATTTCTCCATTTTAATTGGTTTAATGATAGGCTATGAAGCACGGACACACGACACGACACGGACACAACACAGACACGCAAAAATGCAAATTTTCAAAAAATAAGGGACACGACACGCTGGGGACATGTTCAATATATATAATTTTTTTTATATATTGTTAGAATTTACCTACACCTACCACCACCTACTACCACACCTACTACACCTACCACCAATTTACCCTCACCTACTCCTCACCTACTACCCAAACCATATTATTTGTATTTATTTATATTATTTATTTACAAAAGAAAGGCACAAAAAAGAATAAAAAGAATAAAAAGAATAAAGAGGGAGAGACAGACACGGTATAAGGAAAAGGGAAAGTAAGTGAGAGGCGAGAGCGAGAGGCGATCAGAGAGCGAGAGAGAGAGGCAGACACGATCGGAGAGCGAGAGGTGACACCAGAGAGAGATGGACAGAGAGAGAGGAGATGAAGACGATGAGAGACGAACAGGTTCTTCCTCGATCTAGCCTCGACAGGTTCTTTCTCTCTCTCTCTTTCTCTTTCTCTTTCTCTCTATCTTCAATGGGTTAGGTCTCTGGTTAGGGTTAGGTCTGTTTGCAACGTGTCCACGACGTGTCAAGCGTGTCCGGAAGAGTGTCCACCTGCAAAAATTCAAAAAAAAAAACAGGGACACGTTAGGTTGAGTGTCGGACACGTGTCCGACGCGTGTCCGTGTCCGACCCCCATACGCTGCCTCCAGCGACGTGTCCGTGCTTCATAGATGATAGGTAGCCGTCTATTTTTTTAACTTCATTTTTGTCTCCTCTTTTGCGTACAGGTTTGGTATTCCCTTAATGCTGGCTTTTAATGATAATTTTTCTCTTCTCGAAAACAAAAAACAAAAGGTAGCAGTCTGAGATAGCATAGACCAGGATGCAGTATATTTACACAATGCCATGGCAGATCCTAAAGCAAATCCAAAAAAGTAGGAAAAAAGATATCATGGTTATGGCAATGTATAAATTATTTTTAATAGACACATGGACTATAGAAGTATGTAACTCGAATTAATACTTTGCATTTCTATATTAAGCATTTCATAAATGTGGAAGATGAAGCACAACAAGTTCATTTGGAATATTATATTTGATATAAGACTCTAACTTTGAACTCTCTTACCATATTATGTACTTCACAGAATGTTCTATGTTAAAAGGGCCCATTGCAAGCTTGGTTTGTGGTTTCCATGGCCAAATTTTTTAAAATCAAACAAATGGTGGAGGCATTGGACTATGTTGGGAAGTGGCAAGTGTTTGAGATGTGTCGATAAAAGTGTCCAAAATAGTGAAATTTAGTTTTGAATAATGGACATGTCCACGAGGTATTGGACACATGTCTAGAAGCATCCACAAGGTGTTAGTGTCCAACAGATGTCCAACATAGACATGGCACCTTCCTTGCTTCAAAGGTAGTGATTTTCATCCCTTTTTGCCGCAAAACTTCAAATGAAGCTATTTTATTCATATTATTACCTTGCAAAAAAAGGGAACCAATGGAAGAAAAACACACAAATTTGTTTGGGTGAATAATGGGGGTGTTTGGGAAGAAGCTTTTTTAGCTTTTTTGGCTAAAATAGCACTAAAAGACAAAATAGACTAAAATAGTCAATAAGATAAAACGTCACATCAAATCCATAATCATTTCACTTTTTCTCTCACAAACATCACATCCAACTACAAAAAAATCCAACTATCTTTCCAAACACAAAAATTTTAGCCTCCTAAAATAGTCAAAAACTAAAATAGCCTACTAAAATAGCAACTTTCCAAACACCCACAATCTAGCATTCTAGATTTGGATGCCTTTTAATACAACATTTGGCATAAGTCTATAGTGCAATCTTAACTGCATATCACTAAGGTAGAAGCAATTTGAGGTAGCGCATCTAAGACTTGCAAGAGCCTTGTTCTAAAATGTGAGAAAACCTAGGCCCAACAGACGCAACCCAGGTCAGGTAAACAAGGTAGACTCCCTCAACCAGAGCCTAAGAAATTAAAATTTTGCCCACATAAACACTTACTATCCCACTTCCAGAGGAGAGGGTATTGACCTCATAAGAAGATGAAAAAGAGGCCCTCTAAGACATACATATTCTAAACAAAGGAAGGTTGAGTCTTCAATAGCCTATATATTCTGTATACTAGAAGGGTGAGACACTGCAAGCGTGTACTTTACAATGCACTACAAATTTTCCCTACTATATTTTTTAAAATATCCACTTATCTATTAAGCGCTAAGCATTCCCCACTTCTTCTCCCTATAACTAGCATCCTCCCCTCCTTCAGTCAACTCACTCTTCCAAATCCCACAGAAAGTGGCATGTTAACATCTAAATTCCTTTGAAGTGGAAAATCCCATCGTCTCCTTACTTGAAAGAAATGTTTAGTCAAATTCTTAGAAGTTGTTGGCTTTATTGGGAAAAATGTATGAAAGAGCTTCAATAGGGGTAGCACCAAAAGGAGGTGTCCCTTTTATATAAACCCTCCCCAAATCATATGAAAAGGAAATCACATAAGGACCCATACAAAAAAGGAAACTCTTGCTATTTGATCCCTTGAAAGAATAAACAAAGGCAAGGAGGAGATGCACAAATAGAAAAGGAACCTCCCACTCATGGGAAACATGCTACAAAAGGTAAACTGGTTGAAAAGGAAATGATCAAGGGCCAAGATCCCCCGAAAGAATAGATTTTGCCAAGAATACAGCCCTTTACTTTTAGGAGTTTCATCTTGATCATACTAAAGGCATAAGGACCTCAAGAGTCTTAACCAACCAGTAGATTGAAACTGTAGAGAGCATAAAAGAAGCCATTTCCTTTCTCTCTGGATGTCAAAATTCAGAAACTAGGCTACCATTCCCTTTGCCTCATCTTTCAGGTTACTAAATGAATCACTCTTACAATAAAAGTGGGTGTTGCCCCTGCTTTAAATGGAACATCATGTCAGGAAAATGATATACTCTCACCATAAAGGTTTTGGTTGCCCCCACTATTAATGGAACAAAGCCAATTCCTCAGTTATTTGTTTCATTACAGCCATTACTAGTGAAAACAAATATCTGTCTGACATTATGTAGTATATGACACAAGAGAACCAAATTTGGGGAATCAAAATAATCATAAAGTGCTCTGAGGTTAAACATCTAGAAGATCTTAGTTTTAAATGACTCAAAACATGCTGACTATAATCAACTAACCCTCCAGTGGTTGCAGTAGCAGGCTGACCAGTAACATCATTCTTCTTGACATCAGCTAACACAGCATTGATATTGTCATCCTCAAAAGCAAAATACACAGGATACTGTAACCAAATATAGCATCATCAAGATAGTTTCCATGATAAAATCACATTGAAATATAGAAAGTGAAAAGAAATTTGGGGATGTGAAACACCTTGATTAATGAGTAGGCCAATAAATTATAGGACATGACAGAAAGTCAAATGTCCTGGCCATTAAATGGTTTCTAAGAATCCTAGAGAGCAATATAATATATATGTATCCCGAGTCCATTTGGGAGCCAGTAACAAACACTGCAGTTTACATTTGACGAGTTCTGCAAAATTTTCTGCAGATATGCTTTTGAAATAAAATGACATATAAAACACATACCAGAAATCCAATGAAACGAATGCAATTTCAAGAATGACTAGTATATATATTCAAGTCAGTGGCAACAATTATAATTATTTTTGCTGTGTTTATTTTTTTCTCTTTAACAACACACACACACACACAAATTGTCCTTCCTGTAACTTGAAGACTGCACCACCCCCTTCTGGGACTGGCAGGACATACCAACTCGAGGTTTTGATATGTTAGTTGAACAACAATTGGCAGAAATATAAAATAAGAAAAGAACTAGAAGCAACCGCAATTCTATGCGAATGATTATTTACATGATCAAAACAGACAATGACGCGAAAAGTTTTTAGTTAAATAAGGAAATAGTGGTTTAGTAAACCTCAGTTACTCATTCACAAGAGGGGGAAAAGGAAAGAAAGGAACCGTGATGCAGTATAACGTAAAGAATGACAAACTCAAAATCATGAGGCATAATAAATACCAGCAATAAAGGCACTGTATAGGCATTGGTATAGGGTATCTTAAACCCTATTGCAGCACATTGATATATGCATGGGATCTGAAATGGATGGGTGGATTGTTTCTTACCAATTACCGTTGACCCCAAAAATAACAACACACACACACACAGAGAAACCAGTAAACTCTAAATGCGAGAACTAAACAACAATAAAGAATAATCAAAAGTGTGCAGAGGGACTAGAAGACTATTCTTTTACTCACAGGAATGTTGGCATGTATAAGTAACCGTTCCAGTTCCACCAATATGTCCTTCATCTCTTTACCAAAGTTTTGATCACCTTCATCCATGCTGTCTTTGTTTTCAGGACTAAACATCCGAGGAAGTAAAAATATTAAACCCCCTAATGGCCGTCTCTGTCCAATATATTCTGCCATATGGTTGCCACATAGATAAAAATCTTGATCAGGTAAAAAATCATATAATTTAAGCTAGACAAAATGGTGCAAAGTTAATTAGGATTGAAAGAGGATGGGTGGACCTAAGTGACCATGTCTGATGAACTAGATTAAAATCCTGATGAAGGAACAACAACAAAAGCAGTATTATGCGCTCAAATCTTCCAAAAATATTATTAACTTAGAAAGTTCTATACCACTAAGGCTTGTTTTTCTGGATCACATAGGAAGAAGGAGAACGAAGACAGAGTGTCTAGTCTTAGATGATTCAAGACGAAAACCAGCTTTTCCCATTGATATATAATATTGGCAATAAATTTGTCTCACAGATTCCCAACAAACACAAAATTTAAGAAGTCAATTGTACACCAAAACTATCTTCTTACAACAAAATTATAAAATACAGAAATAAGAAAATATATTAATTTAAAACTTATGGACCAGCTCTTACCTTTGACTGTAATATTGATGATTAATTTGCCTCACAAATTCCTAACATTAAGAAGTCAATTGTACACCAAAATTGTCTTCACCGGGTGAGTCTAGAGAATAAGTTTTAAGCGTGTTCTTGGATGAGAAGAATTGGCACAAGCAATTCAAATTCAAACTATTTTAAGTGTGTTCAAACTATTTAAATGTTCGTGCATTGAATCCAATATAAGGTGCAAATACAATAATGACAATACATTTTTGGTAATTGCTAATATTTTCCGATATGAAGCTTCGGCACACCTTTTTTTTTATTTTTTATTGGCACTGTGGTGTCCGGATCAAAACCCGACGAATCCTCAGGTGTACAAGCCCTCGGTAAGGAGTTTCCCGCAAATATACCATAGTTAATTCAAGAGTTTTCCCAAAATAAAAGAATACAGTAGACATTTTAACTTTATTAACAATCAACTCTACTTCCTCAAAAGTTCACCAGTTACGCTCTCTCGAAATGTACCCCATCACAAAGAGGCACCACCAACATGCATATAGAAGGTGATAAGGATCACAAACTCTGACATCACTCAACAAACACCAAAAATGGACAGAAGTAAACTCAACAAACGCCTCACCACAAGTACCTAATTATTAAAATTCACCAACTTTCCTTCTCCCTTTTAAAAGGAGAAAGAGTTGCCAATTTTTTAGAACTCCACTGTTGCCTATAAACTAACCAAGACTCTGATTTTCTACAACAAAAGAAAATAAATAAGCCTCTAATAGTTTGAAGTTAATGCTTGGTACAATGGCAAAGCTCACGCTATAAGGATTTATGCAGGAACAAAAAAAAACAAACCTATCCTTTTTGTCTGTAACCCTCCCCCATCCCATGACCTCATATTAGCATGACCAACACAGGGTAGTGGCCTTTTAATGCATCCATTAAGCATTTACTCAACCATCAATGGTAAGATCTTTCAGCAGCTTGTAAGATCTACCCTAAGTTGCTTAGCAATTTGAATTTTCATTTGTTTCCCGATTTTCAGACATTCAGTATTGAGATATTGATTCAATTTTAGCATTGGTCATACTATATTATTATTTATATGTTTTAATTGATTATACTAACATGAATCATATTAAGAATATTGGTTTGGTTTGGTTACTACTACTGCTACAACTACTGTCAAATCAAAACTCTATCAATATTACACTCCCATTTCATAATCTTAGTTTGTCACTTGCTACAGAAACTGCAAGCGATTTACGAATCTCAACTCACAGCCTATCAACATTTCCAAAGGGAAAAATCTACAAGAGTGATTTTGCTACTTCATTGCATTTCAAGCAGAAATTCAAATAAAATCAGCGGACCTAAAACTTCCAACAATCACTTCTCACCAATTAAATTTTACATTAAGATAATTCCAACAAAAAAACAAGGTTCTTTTATTAACAATCAATTGACCAATGAATACATAGCTTTAACTAGACATTAAGCACAATTTCGAATAAATTGCAAACACACACACACACAGAGGCATACCACGAATGAAAGTGACGTTAACTTCACGAACGGGAATCATGGCAACAGTACGGGAGAGATCGGTGCCGGGAGCGAAGAGAGAAGAGCCGGCGTGGTGATTGAGGGAAGCGAGGCGAGATCCGAAGGGAGCGCCGGCGAGATCGTACTGAATGAGGCGGTAGACGTCGACGACGGCGACGGCGTCCCCGAGCTCCACGCAGGCCACCAGTATGAACACTATGGCGATCACCGAGTACACTGACTCGAACGCCTCGCGAATTTTCGTCGGAGTCGCCATTGACGGAACTCAAAGTACAGAGACAAAGAGAGAGTGATGTTTAGGGTTTTGGTGGTGGTTTGATTGATCTGAACATATGATATAGTAAAGAATGTGTTTATGTCATTCAGTTTTTGTATGTGTTTTGTCAGATATGGACGGTAAAGGAGTTTACAGGGTTCGGTAGCCGGACCAAAATTAAACTAACACCTAACAGCTGTCTAATTTAGTAATTTTTTTTGACTATTTAATTAAAAAAGTAGGTAAAAAAAATTTATATGTTTGAGATGAGTTTTTAGTTAATTACGAAAATATGTGCAAAAAGTAAAGAGAAAATAGAATCTTTGACTTTTTGGTATGAGTTATTGATTTTTTTGACTAATTTAGTAACTTTTTAACTAATTAACTAAAAAAGTTAGTCCCCAAACGAGGCCTAAGATTAATAATAATTTTTTATTTTTTTACAAAATTAAACTAAGGATAAATGTAAAAATTTCTTTTAATCTTAAATATATATGATATGTGTCGTAGAAATTCACTTAAAAAATTAAATTTCAATCCTAAATATGTGATTTCCATTATTTTGATTTCTAAAATTATATATTACTTTAATAACATTTATCGACACTTTTTAATTTGGGAACTAAATTAAAATGCTTTTTATACATTAAGGATCAAAATAAAACAATTTAAATAATTTATTTTTGATCCCAAAACAATTCAAATATTAGAGATCATAATAACACGTCGTCCAGACTTTTAAGACCAAAAATATAATTAATCCTGAAAATAAAAAGTAAATATTAGCCTTAACGTTCAGGGATGAACCACAGTCCTCAAAAATAGTATGAACCATACTAAAAATTTTATTTGATATTAATCATTTTAATTGATAAACTTAGAATTGAGCATGAATTTAAATTAAACCTTCACAGATGTTGAGTGATAATTTAGGAGTCACAAAAATAGCCTTGAAAATTTTAGATAAACATTTGAATCTCCCTTGATTTAAGTAGAAGTGGGTTGGCTTTTTGACTTTTTGACTTTTTTGCCTATTTTAGCCTGAGCTTAAAAGGTTGGTTTGAGAAGGACTTTTTAGCTTTTTGGCTTTTTTAAATTTTTTTGTGAGAGAAGAATGTAATGATTATGGATTGGATGTGATGTTTTGTTTGTTATGACTAAAATAGCCTATTTTGTTTTTTGTGGCTAAAATAGCCAAAAAACCTGCAAACCCACTTGCCAAACACAGGCTTTACACATTAAGGATCAAAATAAAACAATTTAAATAATTTATTTTTGATCCCAAAACAATTCAAATATTAGAGATCATAATAACACGTGGTTCTGACTTTTAAGACCAAAAATATAATTAACCCTGAAAATAAAAAGTAAATATTAGCCTTAACATTCAGGGATGAACCACAGTCCTCAAAAATAGTATGAACCATACTAAAAATTTTATTTGATATTAATCATTTTAATTGATAAACTTAGAATTGAGCATGAATTTAAATTAAACCTTCACAGATGTTGAGTGATAATTTAGGAGTCACAAAAATAGCCTTGAAAATTTTAGATAAACATTTGAATCTCCCTTGATTTAAGTAGAAATTTGAATAAAAATTAATTTTGGTATATGTATATGCATTCAATTGCGTGAATTTATCAGTGTCATAGTTTTAATTAATTTTACATGTCCAAAAATGCACATTACGTGTCTAATTATTTAGCGTAAAATACTGTGATACGTACAATACAAGTCACTTGCCTGAAACAAAATTGTTTATTCTCCCTTTGGAATAGCCATATTTTGCCAAAAACTATTCTTTGAAATCACACCAACACATCCAAAAAGAATTTCTAAATGATACAAAATCAAGTACAACTCTGTCTACTGGCACGCAGTTCAACTCTATAACATAACAGATGCCATGCTTTTCCAAGACCCAGAAGAGAAGAAAAGAAAAATGAGGTATTTTCTATTTATATGGTCCGCGACACAATCTTAGAGATGGATGAATTAATCAGTCAAATTAGAGAGAATGACGAGACTTGATCTTGTTTTGCATCTACAGACAGGCACATGATCAGAACTATTGCTCCAAATTTATTTTTCTCACCCATTGCCATCAAGTCTTCACTTTTTATTTCAGTTCAACATACCCTTCCACTCCTGCAAAAAAAAGGAAAAAAGGAAGTAACATCGTTAGGGTTGCAAACAAACCGAGCTGTTCATGAATAAGCTCGGCTCGGCTCGTTATGGGCTCGGCTCGACTCGGGCTCAAGTTCGAGTTCGAGTTCGAGTTCGCATAAGTTTGGCTCGTTTATCTTTATTTAAATTATATAATAAATATATTATTTATATATTAAATAATATATAAATAATAATATAAATACATTTTTTATATATTAAATAATAAAATATTTTTTATTTAAATATTTATATTTAAATAATATTTTTAAATAATATAAAAAAAATTAAAAAAAAATTATCAAGCCGAACCGAGCTGAGCCGAGCCTGAGTTTCATTAAAATTAACGAGCCGAGCCGAGCCGAGCCGAGCTCGAGCCCAGTTCCTTATCGAGCCGAGCTCGAGCTCAATAAACGAGCTCGATAAGTAAACGAGCCGAGCTTGAGCTCGAGCTCAGCAAAGCTCGGCTCGGCTCGATTCGTTTGCAGCCCTAAACATCATCATTGGTCACAACATGTAATAGATAACTTTTTATTGAACATGCCAAGTTCGTTCCTCGACAACTTGTGCTGAAGGACTAAGATCCAATCCTTACTCTTTGCTTCCTGTGAACAGATGTTTGGTTTTGTTTTCATTTTCTTCCTTTCTCATTTTCTGTTTTCTGTTTTCTGTTTTCTCTCTCTTCCTTTTTTGTTGTTGTTGTTGTTGTTGTGTGTGTGTGTTTTCAAAAACAAAACAATAAAAAGTTGTAAAAGCACGACATATTCATTTAAAGTACCAGAAGATATAATGTCTTAAATTACTATAGCAATCCCAGAAACAATTGGAAGTTCCCCAAATAAAACTTGCAGAAGTACAGTTAACAGCGTAATAATAACATCATATTGAATTTTGATGTTGTCAACTGATAGTAAAGTCTGTAAAACCCATAACCAAAATGTGGGTTCCTAGGAGAAGCAACGGTTTATGAAATTCTAATCATGGTCTCAAGCATTTAAACTCCATGATGCTTTGTTTATTGTAAAAAAAAAGACATAAAACATTGATTGAAAATATCGTGAGTGACAATGAGGGGCATATTAGAAAGCACCTAAAATGGGAGCAACCATGTATGCTAAGTATACACGAGATGACTGAGGAGCATAAATAATATGTTTTTGAGATATTTTCTGGATTAAAATGAATAGCTACTATCAAAAGCACAGATTTCTCAAGCAGCTCATGACGGGAATGCTGTATGGTCTGGTGACTTAGAAATGCAAAAAATTAACTCTTCAGCTTCCTTCTAAAAACGTTGAGTCACTTGGTGGTCCATAAGCTGTAATTTCTTCATTTGATTGAGACTTTCAGAACAACTAAAATAAAATAAAATAACACTAGTGATTCAAATATGGCAAGGAAAAGAAATGGAACTTTTCTATAGGCTCATGAGGAAGCCTAAAAAGAAAGGACAGAAGGGAAAAAAAGGAAGACTATGGGTTGCCCCTATTCAGAATATAGGAAAACTCTATTTATACAGAAAATTCATACAAAAAAAACACTACAAGAATGATCAAACAATGCCATTTTTGTAGACAAAACTCATCTTCATGGGTGTTTTGGTTTAAAATGAAAGATCACAACGAGCCACATCATTCTGAATAAAATTTTTGTACGAATTTTCTATTTGTATATCATTACTTATTAGAATATCATAAAGATGCCTCAATTGAAGAAAAGAAGGTGAATGACCTGCAAGACAGTCTTCTGGGAAATGTCCAACTTTGCTTTAGGGTCCCAAAAAAAATGAACAAACCTCATAAGAGGAATTCTGATGTGAACTTTTCAGTCACTTGATTCTTCTTCATTCTCCGGAAAAATTAATTGCAGATCTTCATTGTCCCTATAAACCTGAACCAAAGCAGCCGCTTTATATGCAAACATCCCAACCATTGCTGGCACGAGCTGCGAAGACCAAGAACAGCAACAAATAAATGACGAGAAGAAAACAATCCATGTTCTACGCTTTGAACCATCTCTAAGAATTTGTAGTTTCAAAACAGAGTAAAGCATCACCTGGAAATCAAATAAGTCATTAGCAAAGTGCTGAGACAGGCCCCAAAATCCATATATTGCAGCAGGGATCACAAGCCTCGGTGATGAAATAGCAATACCAGAACCTTTAACCAATCTCTCAAGCAGATCCTCCAGGTCCTGGCTTCTTATACCAATTCTGATATTAAAAAACTGAAGTTACTTTCCAAAAGGAGGAAAAGTTATTAATAGTTTCTAAATCAGGCACACATAAACAAAGGCAAAAGATTTAAAAGTACTTCTTTGACTTCTTTTGCCTGAAAATCTGTGGAACTGTTTCCTGGGAAAGGTTGTCCGCTTGTTTGTATAAGAGCTGAAGGTATAAGCAACTGCATTGACAAAAATAAAAATGAAAATTGCCACAAAATCAATACCAGCATCAACCAAAAGGAGGTTTCACTGTCTTAAATCTGCATAGGTAGCAAAGAAAAAAAGTTGAATTCATATCCCGTGACCGTTGTCAACTATGTAATGCATAACATGATAATCATTCAAGACATGAATGTTTCACTAAGTGAAGAACTAACAATAAAGTGACTAGAATATATGAGGAAATAAAATTTTAAACTAACCTGAAAAGAACTCCCGCTGCATAACTCACAGCAGCCTATGCAGTTTTATAAGTGAAAGTCAGTAAGAACATGAGCTAGGTACTTTCATAAACATCTCTTCCAATTAAGAAAACAAAAGAACTTCCTTTCTAAAAAAAAATAAAATAAAAAAATAAAATAAAAAATAATTGAAAGCAATCATGCTTTGATTGGATGAAAAGAAGACAGGAAAAAAATTGAGTCCAAAAGGACCAAAACTTACTTAGGTTTGGTGATTGTTGTAGAATTCCAAGTTTTCAGTTAGGAATTATGCTTTGCTTTGTTCAAATGTATCCCTGATAAAATATGCTAGTTGTGTTTTGTTGATTCTATATTCTTCCATCATCTGTTCATTTTTTATTTTTTATTTTTCTGAGCAGACTAATCCTCCTTTTTATTCTAAGTTACTCCCTTGCAAGAAGCTTTCTCTTAAAAAATGAAAAAGTAAGGTACAATTTAATCTTTTCCTTCGTCACCTCACCATAAAGAAATAAGATAGAAGCTAAACCAAACTAAGCCTTGTGTCCCAATCAGGTGGGGGTGGCTACATGGTGCTATGAATTTGCCAAAAATAACTGATCAAACTTCTCTCTTGATGATAATTGAAACATCTTTGTTGAAAAACAAAGATGTACAACTGATCAAAGAAACTTTGGCTTCTATCAAGGCAATGCCGAATGAGTTAATGCTTAATGCCCAGCTGATCAAAGCACTGGTTGCATGGGAAAAGCCAGTGTCGCTTTGGCAATAGAGTGGTCCAAACAAAAATGGTCAGTAGTGTAGCCTTCATCTAATATTACCTGTACAGATAAAGTTACTAAACAGTATCCACTGCATACAGTTCCGATACCCACAGTTAAAAGCATCATTTCCCTCTTGAGCTGCAATGGAAAAACGAAGGATAAGCATATTCCTAAACAACTGAATATTTAACAAGTGAGATAAAGACACATCTACAGCTTCTAACATAATCTAGGAGCTGTCAATATACAAATGGGCTATATGAAAAACAACCAGAAGAATAAAGAAAGAAAGAGTCTCCTACTACAACTCAAACCAAACCAAACCAAACCAAGAAGTGCCAGCCCATGCGTGATCAAGAGCTTGCCATGAACTTTGAATGAAGACAAGATCTCTTTCATTGACGTAAGGACCTTTTTGCATATAGGTACTTCTTCCAATCTATATCCTTTCTTTCCTATTAGCCCAATGTAGTAAAGACATCTCTATCCAAATGAGGAACTCAAACATTGATCTCTATCCAAAATCCAATTTCTGTACCTTTTATTTTCACTTTCACTACTTTTCTAGCATCCACCAACCGGGAAAAGTACAAGACGATACTAGAAAATCTGGAAAACAACAAACTCAAGTATCACTTTGTAGTTAGGCTCAGTGTTGTCAAATCGTGATACAAATTGTGTATCACTGTATGTTAAAATATTTACCATCACCTACTACACTCACCTACTCCTCACCTACCACCACCATCTCCACTTCACATCTCCTATATATAGAAATCAATGTAAACACTACAAAATATCAATCAAGATATCAATCAATAATACTTCAATTCTAACATGGTATCAGAGCAGGTTTAGAATCTAATAATTTGCTTCACCGGCGAGCGGCAACCTCGTCTTGACCGCCCGCCGGACCTCTACACATATCTTCCCTCCGCTGCCACAAAGTCCATAGCTGAACTCTTCTCTGCCTCACACATATTTGTTCATCAATGGCGACATCGAGCCACCATCGTCTATCAATCCTCCTCGGCCTTCTTGCTAATCGCGGCAGCCACCGCCGCCGACCTCGGCCCCGACGCCGCCTTATAAAGCGCCCCTGTGCCCAGACCCGCCACCACGCTATTCACCACATCGTCCGTATCCCTAATCGCGCCCATCCCGCTCTCCAAACCGATCTCGGTCTCCATTTTCAGTATCATCTCCGACGTGCCTCGTTTGTTGCTCCGAACCATCTGAGACGATTGTTTCTATGGCTCATCTGTTCCAGCACGAGCATCACCATGGGAGATTCCGTGGAGGAGTGGTTGAAGAAAGGAGCGGAGGTGGAAGTGAGCTTCGAAGACGAGGGTTTCAGAGGGTCCTGGTACACAGCCACTGTCCTCCGAATACACAGCAGCTATGGTGGTGGTGGCCAACCTCCTTTTCTTCACTGCTACAGGGTCTTTCACAGTTATTGCCCTCGATCCGTGGTGTTATACAGCCACAACGCCACACTTTTTTCTCTCTCTCGTGGTGCCGCAGGACGACCCACCACGGAGAGGCACAATATTTGGGTGCTGCCCCACTCTCCCTATAATTTCCATCTGCTGTTCAAAGTGTTATGACACCACCATCCAGTGTCCTCTACCACGTTATGACACCACCTTTCAGTGTCTTCACCAACGGTCTGACACGACCATACAGTGTCTCCTATCTTTTTTTTTATTTTTATGTATTTTCTTGTTTTGTTCCTCTCTCCAAACTCAAGTTGGTTTGTTTCTATCCTCCTTGAGTTTGCGGGGGGCTGTTAAAATATTTACCATCACCTACTCCTCACCTACCACCACCATCTCCACTTCACATCTCCTATATATAGAAATCAATGTAAACACTACAAAATATCAATCAAGATATCAATCAATAATACTTCAATTCGCTTTTCTATATTGTGTATGGTATACACTAACATATATGGTTCATATCTTTTCTCATATGATACAATATGAATCGTACAATAAGTAACGTGTATCATACAATTCTGACAAAACTTGATAGGCTTGCACAAGAGAAAAAACTGCTGCATTTTAGCCCCCAACTGCAAGGAATAAAGCTCTGATGAGCAAGTGAATTTAGAGATAAGAAAAGGTGCACATACAGTCTATTATTTTTGCAGAGAATGGTTCTTCCATAGGTAATTGATCTGCATTTTATTTTGTTGTTAGTTCCCATGGTTGTAATTCTGCAAAAAGGCATTTCCCACGCATTGGGCTGTTGTGTGGGTGGTTACAAATAACAGTGAGCATAATGACACAGTCATATTTGGCATTAAACCTTGGTGCAGCAATGCTCAACAACTCCGATTAGTGTAACCCTTCTAAATAATTTTACAAGCTATTCAAGATCACAATTGACAACTTAGGATATCAATATGGCAATAGTATCCAAGTATAACCACTGAAAAATAAAGTGCCAACAATGTGAACTAGAAGATGGATGGGTGTGGCATGCAGCATGGCCAATGACATAGATGTAAGCCACTTGCTCCTTAATAATGGTGTCAAGCTTGTCTAGATCATTTAGTTGAAATGCAAGCCATTTTTTCAATGTGACAAAAAGAGGAACCAAAACAAATGGAAAGAAAATGAGTCACCGGTGTAACAAGGAGGTATCATACAGCTTCATAGCTCAGAAGGTTCATTATTTTCCTTCTCTCACTGTCATTCTGCAATTGCTGTCATTAAAAGTATGAATAAGTATGTTTCATGCCAAAGTTTCCTTTCCTAAAGGTCTCATTTTTTGTTATGTATAAAGATTAACAAATGTGTGGCTGAAGTAGCAGAAAACTAAGATCAGACTTAATAATAATAGAAAAGAAGTATGTCTAACCAAGGCATACCTTGGCGATCATCTTCTTATTGACAGGTGCAGAGTTATCGCCTGCTATCCATTCACGGGTCCTTGTCAGTTTGAGAAATCCACCCTCGTTTTCATCTCCCAAGGTCTACAAACATAAAGAATAGCCAGTAGATAAAAAAACCCTAGTTCACTAATATAAAAGTAAACTTATTTCTTTTTCGGAAAAAATAATAAAACATCTGAAGGACATAAATTCATATTATATTTCTCAAGCAGTTTAACACCAACGACAGAGAAGATATTTGTTTGCAGCCCTTGTGAACTTACCACACAACCAGGAAAGGCAAAATAAAAAGAAATATGTGCTTAATTTGTGTGATCACACCAAAACTTCTTACCCATTTTTGGCTAGTCATGTCAATCCTCTTCCATCAATTGGATTTATACTATTTGGTGATTCATCTCATAAGGCTTAATGCTCTATTTGGTTCACTAGAATGAGATGAAATGGAATAGTATTTCCTTAGGCTCACCTATAGAATGATCATTCCTTTACAATGCTTAATGACGATTCCATTTGCAATGTATTTTTCATTATTTTTTTAGTCAACCAAACATGGGAATCAACGTTTTGATGGAATGATCATTCAATTTCACTCCATTCCAATGAACCAAACACTACCTAAGTGTTGTGAACTCATAATACACAAATTTTCTTTGCAATGACTGATGCCACCAATCAGATTCCAATTCTCATCATTAAAAATAAGGATCCTTAGGTTAGAAGGTGCTCTCTGCAAGAATAAGGCCTGGTTTGGCATCCTAAAAAAAATTCAAAAAGCCAAAAAGTAACTAAAAAAGTTAAAAAGTTATCATTATTCACAAATTAAAAATTTTTAAAAATTAATTTACACAATATTTTAATACAAATCAACCAGTTGATGTGACTGGTACAAACTGATGGAAGTGGGCTGTCAAAAGAAAAAAAAGAAAATTAGGTATATATATTCCTTAAATTGGAGGGTAATGTTGGGCCAGTGGGGGCCCATCACTGGTCTCGTTTTGATAATCTGAACCATTCAATGTGTATAACTCGTCGAGTACTATAAGCCTGTTAAAAAACACGTTGATCGGATATCACTAACTATATGATCAAATCAGTTTTGTATAAAAAATGGATGGTGTTATAGTTAACAGTTGGCAAAAAACTAATACGATCAGATAGCTATCAATATCTAATCACCGTGATTTTTTACAAGCATATAGTACTCAACGAGTTATACACATTAAACGGTTCTGATTAGCAAAACGCGACCCGTGGTGAGCTCCCAAGGGCTGAACAACATCGTCAAATTCAAACCCGAAAAGGAGACAATCATTTCCTATCTCCTAATCCGCCCACTACTCTGCTAGACCGTACGGGCTACATCACTAACTTCTCCAATACACTTATTTATACAACTTTTTAATACACATTTTTTCGTAAAAAGTCAAAAAGTTAACCCAAACATCCATATTTTTTCCTCAACTTTTTAGTCCAAAAAGACAAAAAGTGCACTTATTTAGAACACCCCAAATAACCCCTAAGAGTGTACCTGAACACTGAAGTTCTTTTGATCTTTTAAACATCTACGACCGTTAGCCTATTCATTTTCTTGATTCCCATGTAGACAAAAATGACTTTTTTGGAACATATATATGACTAGTTAGTAGGCCTAAATCAAAATGAATCTGTAAAAACTTCAATATCTTTCTCTTGTAATTATTTCCTTTTTTTTTCTTCGCAACATTTTCAGTAACCACTTACCAATTAAGAAAAGAAAAAGAAAACGGCAACGCGCCTTAAGCTAAAATATTGATACCTCCTTAGATTGTTGAGTAATATTGTCCTCAGCATCATCAAGTCTAATAACCTTCCTCAGCCAAAATATATCAGAAACTTTTGCTATGATATCTCCACTCAACTCTCTTTCCTTAAAAAATGTTTGAAGAATATCATCTTCTGCAAGTTCACTCACTGGCAACATAAAAGGAAAAGAACAATAGACCATCAGCCAACAATTTCTAAAGTTGCAGTTTTATTTGCCTAATAGCAACTATATTTGAATCCTCTGATACATGAGTGAAGGACATGGACTTTCCCAAGTATTTGTTTCCATCCTCTAACTTACATTCATTTATATTGTGTTTGGTTGGGAAATTTGATGAGAGATTTGGAAAGAGAAAGAGAAAATATAAGTGAAATGTGAATAAAATATACTTACATTTAACCTAGTTTCACACACCATTTCCCTTTTCCTTTCCAAATCCCCAAACCAAACACAACGTTAAGGCTCACAAAAATAAGAAGTTTGATTTGAAGATAAACTTCATATTGAAGTCTGTGTAAGATAAACAGCAGTGGAGAATTCATGCGAAGAAAGAAGGACAAAAGTTGTACAGGGCGTTGAGTAGTATTTATTGGACTAAAAATTTAATACAAGAAAATTTGATGAACTGATATTTGCCAACAACCATAAGTATCCACGAGGCAAATGCTACCACGTATGTCTTACTTCTTAAAAATCACAAACATGCTTTATTATTATTGAATGAATTGCAGATAAACTTCTGAAGTTAAAAAAATTATTTAACAGTGAATTGGAATACCAATCCTAAAAAAACAACGACACTTTAATAATAATAATAATAACCCTCCAATTATAACAGTTACAATTTCTTTTTCAGGGCATCTCCAATCCTTGACTCAAACCTATATGAAATTTAAATTTGGGTAAAAATCACTCAAAAACCTCTTCACCCCTTGACTCAAACCTATACCAAATTGAGTTTTACCCAATTTTGAACCCAAATCAAGGGATACTCAAATATGCTTACTCAAATTTTTCAAAGCCATTTTGTAGCTTTCTAATTGACAACTCTACCATTACTATAGCCTTTACTCAAATTTTTTGCTTAAATCTGAGTTTGTCCGTTAGAGTGCTTCATATCAACTAAAGCCTTTACTCAAATTTGAGTAAGAGCTGGAGATGCATTACAATTGAACTGTCTATACAACTATTATTGAAGGAATTAAAGATGAACTTATGAAATTATAAAAATTACTTAAGAGTGAATTGGAATATCGGTCTTAAAAAACAACACCACTTATTTATAAACTAAAAAAAAAAATCTAATTATAACATTTGCAATTTCCTTTTTTGGCTAAATATCTAACACATTACAATTGAACTGACTATGTAACTGTTATTGAAGGAATTAATATCAATCCTTAAAAAACAACAACACCAATTAAAAAGAAAAAAAACCCTCTTAACGGTTGCAATTCTTTTTTTGGGTAAGAATCTAATACATTTTTAGAATTGAACTGGTTAAGTTACCATACGGATTCCAAAAAAATTCCATATCAGTTTTCTAGGGAACCAAACAAAGAAACTCACCAGGAGGGGGGCTGCCCAAGACTGAGGCCACCGTTGTTTGGATTCTAGGAGAACAAGGGGATTGAGTACGACGACGCAAAGGGGAGATTTTTGTTGGAAAAAGCTGGGAATGAGTTTGAGGGAATTGGAAAATGGTAGTAGTAGAAGAAGAGAAGAAGAACAATCCAACCCCACCTGATACAGAATCCATTTCCAAAATCTCTCTCTCTCTCTCTCTCTCTCTCTCACTTGTTTTCTCCTCCACTCCTCTGTGGCTCAGTGTGTCCCCGAGAGCCTGTTGAGCGTTAAGTTAGCGGAAAATATCTGTTCCTTTTTTTCTCGTCTTTTCTTTTCATTTTTTTTTTTTGGTGAATATATGTGACCTTTTAATTGTAATACATTTAATATTTGATTTTTAATTTTTAATTTTTAATCTCACTTTAAATAAAAATAACCATTTCTTTTGCAAATAAAAAATACTCTATTTCAAGAGTAAAGTCATTAATTACATAAAATATAAATTGGTTTGACAAAAATAAATATCAAAAAAATATTTTTTAATTTCTAAAAATTATTTTTACCCACCAAAGATAAATTTATATGAATGATAAATCTTATACATTTTTATTTTTTACAAAATTAATTTTTAATTTGTATTTGGATAATGATTATGGAATTTGTGAGTATTTTTGTTGATTTTTTTTATGGTTATCATGAATTTTTTTTTTTTATTAACAGATATTTTTGAATAGTTATTATGTAAATGATGATTATTAAATTTTTAATGTTTAATATATGAAATGTTTTTAGTTTTAAATTTTTTTATTTAATGAATTGGTTTAATAATGACATTAAAATTATCGTTATGTTTGACTTTTGAAAAAATATAAATTAATTTAAAGAAAATAAATATCAAAAAAAAAATATTTTAAAAAATTATTTTTACCTTCCTAAAAGATAAAATTATATAAAAATGAGTTATATTATGACTTTATCTTTGAAATGGACCATTTACAAAGGAAACTTTTTTTATTGTCCTTATTTAGAACAAAATTCAAAATTAAGGGTCAAATGTATCACAATTAAAAAGTTATGGATTAGAATGACACAAATCTCAAATTACAAAAATGATTAGTATAGAGTACTGCTATTAGTATCCCATCAATTATTTTGGACCCCCACCTATAAATTGTAAAATTCTTAAAATTTCTTTTATTCACTCCACATAATACCAAAATTATCCTCGTAAAAAATTTCACCCATTCAAATACGAATCCCCAAACCCCTACACCCCAAAAAGCCTCTATCTCAAAATCCTAAAAAACTAACGGCGGCGGAGCTTCCCAAAACTAGTGAAAAAAATTTGTGATGATTAAGAAGTTTTTTTCTCTATTTTATTACGAGATTTGTTAATCTGTTTGATTTTTTTTTCTATTATCTCTTTTCATACACGCAACACAATCCACTTTCATGCTTCTCTAGTTAGTTTTCTTTCATTCATCCATAATCTCACTGTACTTGTATGCTATCTATGTGAGCAAAACTGGACAGGATTTCACTTACCGATCGACCCCCTAATCGACTACACAAGGGTGGTCCAACCTCATTTGTTTGTCTTCTTTTGCTACTACTTCGGTTATCTGTTCCCGAACAAATAAACAATGTTTGGGTCTATATTCCCGAATTTCGGTCATACGTTCAGGAATTTAGTTTTCAAAAAATGACGAACAATTTTTATAATTTTTGCCATTTTTTTAATAAACGTATCCTTATAAGGCCAATTTCCTGTGAATTAAGAATATTTATCAAAATTATGAACATCTTCTAAATTTTTATTGTTGTACTCTTCTCGTCTCATGAAGTTGTGGTTGCCAAAAAAACTTCCACTAATTATCATTGTTGGAGAAGAATATGTAATCAAATGATTGTCACCGTTGTCACCAGAATATTGCTGCCAAAGAGTTTTTCAAGATTTTGAGGATGGGTAGATTTTGAAGGTGAGATTTGTGGGTTTAATTATGAGAAGAGATGTCTCAAAATTATTGATATTATTTTTAATAATTTCATTTAAAGTTATTATTATAATAAAAAAAAGGGGATGCACCAATAAATCCCAAATTAATAACTTATACACTGTTTAGTCCTAAAAGTTTTCTTATAGACTGAAAGGTCCCATTATAATGTTTCAAACATCAGATTAATATTTCAAACATTAGATTTCGAACATCAGATTAATGTTTCGAACATTAGATTTCGAACATCAGATTAATGTTTCAAACATTAGAATGATGTGCAAATGGGACTAAATGGAGCATAAGAAAATTTTTAGGACTAAATGGTTCAACTTTTCAGAAACTAGGACTTATGGGTAAATTTTCCTAAAAAAAAACCAAAAAATAACAAGTTTAAAATAATTAATAGGGTATGAATAACAGCACTCTGTATAATCCGCCATTTCTTTTCGTTTTTTATTATAGTCGAGTCACTTATAAAGCAATTTTGTTCACTAATTTTTATAGTGGTAAATAAATGGAAAAATTAGAATTTAATTTACTAAAAAAAAAATAATTAAAAATTTATAATTTTAATTAGTAATATTGATAAAATTTATCATTAATGTGTAATTTGTTTTAAAAAAATACATTGATGTGTAATTTTTCCTAAATAAATAATGATTACGTAATTAAACCATGTTGAAACAAATGTATTTGTCAAAAATAATGAAAGTTGTTGCAACTTATTATTAAAATCTTATTTTTTATTTTTGGATTTATGGACCAAGTGCCCTTTATAAAATCCTCTTTTTTTCTTTGAAAATTGTTAATTTGGTTAATTAAAAATTATGACAATAGGGTATTTGTAATTTTTTAAATCACAAAAAACAATTTATGTTTTAAACAATACTTAAGGAGTGTATTTATAATTTATTTTTAAAAAATGTAAATAATTGTATGGAGAGTGATGCGGTGATTGGAATCCAGCTAACAAAGGATTCGTTTGGAAAATGGATTGGCTTTTTGACTTTTTGAGTTTTTAAATTTTTGACTATTTTAACTTGAGACTAAAAAACCTCATTTGAAAAAGATTTTTTTGACTTTTTTGACTTTTTGTGAGAAAAAAATATAATAATTATAAATTAAATGTGATATTTTATCTTATTAAATTAAAAAATTTATTTTGTTTTTTTAATAACTAAAATAGCCTCAAATCCGACTCAACCCTTTTTCACAAACGAAACCTAATAACTTTTTAATTTTTAAATTAAGAAATAATGTTCCCAAACGAACTTTTCTCTTTTTCTTTTTTCGAGGGGAATTTCATGCTTGAGTGGAGTAATTATTTATTATTGTGTGTGGCACTTCACACATGAGATTTAAGCAATTGGTTGGCATGTGTGCTGTATATATGGAACCTACATCAATTACCTAATAAATTATTAAATATTTATGAAATATTATGTAGCATTGTATATTATAGTGCATGTACATACAAGTCTCATTTTGTGAACTTATACTTCATTAAGTCTTAAATAAAATTATTTGTTCATTCAAGTCCTATTAATTTTTAATAGCCCAATTTATCCTTTTTTTCTTCAGGCTCTGTCTTGCGGCCTCCGAAACGATTTGCTGAAGACGATTGGCTCGGCCGACGAAAATGTGCGACAGAGTTTGGAGGATTGATTTGTAGCCTCCGGTTGATTGAGCTATCTCAAACTCGGATCTGAAATATATGTCTATTAACACTCTCTGTCCTTCCACAATCACATCTATGTATTCATATTCACCTGAATAAATAAATTATACACAAAATCAGACGATGATCAAAACGAAATCTATCGGATATACATATATAATTACACATGAGAGAGAGAGAAAGAGAGAGAGAGAGGGCTTACCGACTGGATATGAGGAAGATTTTTCCCATCGCGATTTGCAGATTGAAGTACGCAGATCACACCAGGGCTTCGAATCGAACCCCAAATTACAACCTTCCAAGTCAAAAAGTTCACCAGATCTGAAATTGTAATCCTATGTACTTGACTACATTGTTCTTTTGAATTCTAATTTGAAATTGAAACATTCTCAGTTTATAATATTCTCAATTTTAATCATGAAAAAAATTGAGAAATTTCTCAAAATTGATAATTATAAACTTCTTAGTTTTAATATTATTCTTAGTTCATACTAGAAAAAATTGAGAAATTTCTTAGTTTTGATAATAATAAATTGAGAATATTCTCAGTTTTAAAATTGAGAACATTTTCAATTTTGGGATTAAAGGGCAAAACGTCTTTTTACCAATAAATGGGACTTAATGGTTCAAAAAAATTTTCACGGGACCTAAGCTACCACCAAATATGTAGATAGGACGTTTTGGTAATTAATCCTATATTATATGGTTACCTTTCACTAATAAAAAATTGCAACATATATTGAGTAATCACTTTATCACTGGCTATCTAAAAGAACTTAGGGAATTGACAAACAAGTCTCATCTTTTGAACTTGTAATTTATATAAATTTTTTTTTGATCTATTTAGTCTTTTTAGATGTGTAATGACTCATTTACCTGCCATATTAAAGTATCACATTTAGAAAAAGTACACTATAAAATTTTTTAGTGTCACATCATACCTGTCACGTTAGAGTGTCACATTTAGAAAAAATATACTAAAGAATTTTTAATTTTTTTAGAGTGTCACATTATACCCGTCACGTTAGAGTGTCACATGTCATGTTTGGAAAAAGTATACTACGGAGTGTTTATTTTTTTTGAAGTGTCACATCATATCTGTCACATTGTCACGTTTGGAAAAAAAGTATATTAAGGAATTCTTAATTTTTTTTAGAGTGTCAAATCATATTTGCCACGTTGTCACGTTTGAGAAAAATACATTAAGGAGTTTTTATTTTTTTGGAAGTATCACATCATGACTGTCATGTTGTCACGTTTAAGAAAGGTACACTAAAGAGTTTTTATTTTTTTGAAATGTCACATCATACCTGCCACATTGGAGTGTCACATCAATACATGTTACATTTGAGTATTACATCATACCTATCACATTAATAAAAAAGTATAGCCGTCCGCTAAAACACTACCAAAATCGAAACTAGGACCACACGAAACAAAATTCTCTACTAATAGGACTTAACAGATCAATAGAAAAAAGTTGGGACTAATTAGAGTGCTTGTTTGTGAGATGAGATTTATTAATAAATATCCCTTAATTGTTTGAATTTTACGACATTTATGAAAATGTCGATTATAAGTGGCTACGAACTTTTGCAAAACGTCATAAAGATAAGACGACATTTATTAACATAGTTACATTTATGTGTCTGATATAATAACTTTTAAAAATTGAGATACAAAAAAAATAACTAAATTATTTTTAATAATTGAACTGTTTTAGTTTACTTATTTTATTTTTCTAAAACTGTATTAAGTTATTGGAAATTTGCCCCATTTGGCATAATTTTTCCATAATTTGAGCTTTGTCTCATTATGATTCAGTACTGGAAAGGTGATGATTGACCGTTATTCCTCATAAATGAGGTTTGGGAAGGATTGGCCAATACCAAACCCCTGTTGCCATCTCTATGTCTAGGAACTAACTTACGTGACACTTGTAATTGGCACTCATAAACCATTATGTTTACAGAGAAATCGTGACAAAGTTAATCTCCTACATTAAACACATAATATGTAAGGAAAATATTTTCAATAGCAATAAAATTTAAAGAGAATTATATAAATATAACATTTGCGAGAAATAATTACAAAATGTGACGGAATAAAAAACAAATTGCCAAATGCCCCAGCCCCTCCCATTTTTACCCATTCAACTTCTCTCTCCTCATCTCTTCCCTCTTTTCCTATTTCGTCTTCCATCATTTCCAATTGTTAGCTAGCCTTGCTCCATCTCTTTGTCTCAGTTAGATTATTATGTCATGAAATTTTTAACATTGTGCTGTTATGAGTTTGAAATGTATCAAGCACAGAGTAATAGAGATTTGTTGTATGAAGAAATCTTTATATGATTAGTAAATAATGAGATTTGATTTTTTGAAGTTAGAGAAATCAAATTGAGTTTAAGTTAACCTTTTATAAATAATTTCATCTAGTGGATTTTGTTTCAAAAAAATTAATTTATGGGGAAAAAACTTCAATGCCTCCATGCACTTTATATTTTCCACTAAGGGTGAAATCTTTTTATATGATGTGTTAATACAATTAATCAGACGCAAATGCAAAGTGATAGGACCGGATAACATGTTTGTACCCACCAATCTCCACAAAGACTCTTTTTTTAATTAATATTACAAATCCACCTTATCAACTCAGAAATTACTCAGAAATTAATTTCCACCACACCTCACATGGACCCCACTTGAACTCCACAGCACAAATTAATTTCCACTGCACAATCACCCACCCAAAATTTGCTAAGTGAATAAGGATTGGTCTCTAGACTTTTGCTTATTTTTTAGGATAAATACACCCCCTAAGGTTTGCTTAAAGTATAGATTGCCCCCTTGTAATTTAAAAAATTACAAATATCTCATTGTCAGAATGTTTTATTTAATGGAATTAACTAAAACTAACTATTATTTTAAGGCCTCGTTTGGGAACATACTTTTTAATAATTTTTTGATTTTTTGATTAAAATATGATATAAAAAAAATTAGTATATTTTGAATGAATTTTTGATTATTTACGAAAATATGTGCAAAAAGTAAGAGAGAAAAAAAAATCTTTGACTTTTTAGTATAGATTATTACTTTTCGATTTTTTAAGATTCGTTTAGAAAGTAGATTGACTTTTTGACTTTTTAAATTTTTGGCTATTTTAACTTGAGGTTAAAAAGCCTCATTTGAATTTTTTTTTTAACTTTCTTAACTTTTTATAAAAGAAAGAATTTAATAATTATAAATTGAATGTAATATTTTATCTTATTAGGCTAAAAAACTTATTTTATTTTTTTATAACTAAAATAACTTCAAATCCAACTCAACCCTTCCTCACAAACGAAACCTTAATAACTTTTTAATTTTTAAATTAGGAAATAATGTTCCCAAACGAACTTTTATCTTTTTCTTTTTTCGAGGGGGATAATTTCATGCTTGAGTGGAGTAATTATTTATTATTGTGTGTGGCATTTCACACATGAGATTTAAGCAATTGGTTGGTATGTGTGCTGTATATACGGAACCTACATCAATTACCTAATAAATTATTAAATATTTATGAAATATTATGTAGCATTGTATATTATAATGAATGTACATACAAGTCTTATTTTGTGAATTTAACTTCATTAAGTCTTAAATAAAATTATTTACTTATTCAAGTCTCATTAATTTTTAATAGCCCAATTTATCCTTTTTTCTTCAGGCTCTGTCTTGCGGCCTCCGAAACGATTTGCTGAAGACGATCGGCTCGGCCGACGAAAATGTGCGACAGAGGTTGGAGGATTGATTTGTAGCCTCCGGTTGATCAAGCTATCTCAAACTCGGATCTGAAATCTATGTCTATCAACACTCTCTCTCCTTCCACAATCACATCTATGTACTCATATTCACCTGAATAAATAAATTAGACACAAAATCAGACGATGATCGAAACGAAATCTATCAGATATACATATATATTTACACATAAGAGAGAGAAAGAGAGAGAGAGAGGACTTACCGGCTGGATATGAGGAAGATTTTTCCTATCGCGATTTGCAGATTGAAGTACGCAGATCACACCAGGGCTTCGAATCAAACCCCAAATTGCAACCTTCCAAGTCAAAAAGCTCACCAGATCTGAAATTGTAACCCTATGTACTTGACTACATTGTTCTTTTGAATTCTAATTTGAATTTGAAACATTCTCAGTTTATAATATTCTCAATTTTAATCATGAAAAAAATTGAGAAATTTCTCAAAATTGATAATTATAAATTTCTTAATTTTGATAATATTCTTAGTTCATACTAGAAAAAATTGAGAAATTTCTTAGTTTTGATAATTATAAATTGAGAACATTCTCAGTTTTAAAATTGTAAACATTCTCAGTTTTGGAATTAAAGGGCAAAACGTCTTTTTACCTATAAATAGGACTTAATGGTTCAAAAACTTTTTCACAGGACCTAAGTTACCACCAAATATATAGATAGGACTTTTTGGTAATTAATCCTATATTATATGGTTACCTCTCACTAATAAAAAATTGCAACATATATTGAGTAATCACTTTATCACTGGTTATCTAAAAGAACTTAGGGAATTGACTAACAAGTCTCATATTTTGAACTTGTAATTCATATAATTTTTTTTTTTTGTGAACTATTTAGTCCTTTTAGATGTATAATGACTCATTTACCCCCCATATTAAAGTGTCACATTTAGAAAAAATATACTACAGAGTTTTTTTAGTGTCACATCATACCTGCTACATTAGAGTGTCACATTTAGAAAAAAAAAAAAAAAAACATTAAAGAATTTTTAATTTTTTTAGAGTGTCACATCATACCCGTCACGTTAGAGTGTCACATGTCATGTTTGGAAAAAGTATACTAAAGAGTGTTTATTTTTTTTGAAGTGTCACATCATATCTGTCATATTGTCACGTTTGGAAAAAAAGATACTAAGGAATTCTTAATTTTTTTTAGAGTGTCAAATCATATTTGCCACGTTGTCAAATCATATTTGCCACGTTGTCACGTTTGAGAAAAATACATTAAGGAGTTTTTATTTTTTTGAAAGTATCACATCATATATGTCATGTTGTCACGTTTGAGAAAAGTACACTAAAGAGTTTTTATTTTTTTGAAATGTCACATCATACCTGTCATTGTCACATTTGAAAAAGTACACTAAGGAGGAATTATTTTTTTTAAAGTAAAAGTTTTGGAGTGTCACATCATACCTGTCACGTTATCACATTTAAAAAAAGTACATTGAAGAGTTTTTAATTTTTTTAGAGTGTCACATCGTTGGAGTGTGATATTAATATATGTCATATTAGAGTATCACATCATACTTGTCACATTAATAAAAAAAAAAAGTATAACTGTCTACCAAAACACTACCAAAATAAAAAATAGGACCACACGAAAAAAAACTCTCCACTAATAGGACTTTAACAGATCAATAAAAAAAATTTGAGATTAATTGAAGTACTTATTTGTGAGATGAGATTTATTAATAAATATATGAAAAAAATAGTCAATATATTTTACTTATAAAATTTTAACAAAGTGATTAATTTAAACTACTATATAAATGATGTCACATAACCTAATTGTAACTCGTGAAGATAAACCAATGATGTCATCACTAGATATTCTATATTACGATACATGCAACAATAGAAGACGTGATGGATGATGCCAATAACAAGCATGACAATCATCAGATTACAAGTATGGGCTTTGAGATACGCAGGTTCTAGGCCCCATTCCAGTCACTAATATTGACAATTTCCATATTGAAAGTCACATCAACATCCAAGACAACTTTGATAAGATAATGTTAATAAGACTCCAAACAAGATAGCCAAGGCCATCGGGAAAAAGACTTCAGTCAGTGGTGTCGGTTTTAAGCGAAATCCTATCAAAGCTATGGGCCACGTTAACGATATCAGTTCGTTGTTACAAAAACTTGTGGGTAGAAAGAGAAGAAGGCAACATATCATTGAGAATAATTCTTTATCCTTTCTTCTAATCTTTTCATGTTGCTAGGTGTCTGTTAGGTATTTTCATTATTTTAGTTTTTTAGCCTTAAAATCATATCATGTAATATCCTTTATGCAATATTATGAAATGAAGTTCACTGCAAAAAATAATACTAATAATAATAACAATAACAATAATGTATACTTATTAGAAAAGTTGTGGTCATCCTATTATAAAATATATAATTTTATCATAAAATTTCATAATATTAACCACAAAGTGTATAACTTTTCCATAAATTGACATAGCGAAGTCACAAATTTTTGTAATATCAATCATAAAATTTTGAATACTTTGTTACGTCAATTTATGATAAAATTATTCATTTTATTATTAATATTATAATTTTTTTTTTGATAAAGTGATATATTTTGTGGTAGAGATACACATAACCCATAATTATTTTAAACTTAATTAGCATACACTCTAAAAGCACGCATCAACTAGATTCAATTTTTATTCAAGTAAACATTCTCAATCTAGCAACAGGGCCGGCACTAGATAAGTTGTGACTTTAAAACAATAATTAAAAATGAAAAATTTTATATAATAAAATTTTCATTTAAAATTTATCTAACTTTTTGAGATGCGAAAATATTAATTAAATTTTTATATTCAAGTTTTGCTAACAAATTTTTTTCAATTGATAATATAGATGATTTATTTAATCTTTTTTGTAACATAGTTGATCTAAGGTAATATTTTATCAATTTTAATTTTAAAAAACTTCTTTTTGCAGAAGCAAGTGTTACAGGTATTGTTAATAATATTCCCATCTTAAAAAAAAAAACCATAATGTTGCATTTTTTATTTTTCATTACAACAAAAATAGTTTTTAGAGACGAAAACTAATGACGAAAATAAATTTTGTCACGAAATACGTACCTTTTAATGATGAAAATAATATTTTGTCTCCAAATGTATCATTTTTAGAGACAAAAATAAAATTTCATCACCAATCTAAATACATAATAAAAAAATTAGGTTACGAAATTATTTTTTGTCATTATTTATATTTTTTTTGTCACCGAAGATTTTCTCGCTAATTTTTTCTGAGGATGACAAAATTTTGAGACTTTTGGCAAGGAAAAAATCGGTCACCAATTATAAAATTATTAATGACGAATATATTTTTGTCAACAATAATTTTTAATATTTTAGTATCATTTAGTGACAAAACTATTTTTGTGGCCAGTATTTTTATCTTTAGTGAAGAAATAATTTTGTCACCAATAAATAATTTAGTAGCTAAATATTTTAGAGGGAAATAAAAATATATTGGTGCCTATACAAGCATATACAGCAATCGGTTCTTCTTCTCACACATTCAACCACCAAACCTCACCTTCCATCACCTCACCTCAACGCAACGCAGACCACAACGCCGCTCGCTATCGCAACCGTTACTCGCCACCGCCACCGTCACATCCTCATAGGTACTCTCTCACTCTCGATCTCTCTCTCTCTCACTCGCGGTCTGTATTCTCTCTATTTCAAGCTCTGTATACCTCAATCACTCTTCCTCTCTCTCTGTCCCCCTTTCTGAATCTTGCTCTAGAGTTGTTCTGATTTGTTCAATTTAATTTGGTGTTGATTGCAAAAAATGGGTTTGGTTGAAGTGGTCTAGTTAGTTTTATTCATTTAAAGTATCACCTAAGAGGGATATCAATGTAAAGAGGCATTGAATCACTCCTCCAGATATAGAGACAATGTGAAAAGTGGATGAGTCATTGAATACATCAGTGTAAGGAGGGATATCAGAACATGTAAAAGCATGACAAATAATATTTGAAAATAATAATTGAGAGGGATATCAGGTAAATTTGATTTGAGGTGAATTCTTTTGTAGATATCTATTTGGATGTTGGACTTAATGTTTTCTTTTTAGTTAGTAATATTCAAAATTTATTTATTAAAGACCTAATTTTTCATGTTTTCTTTGGCGTGTTTGGGTTTAATTTGGGATTCTGTGCCTGTTTGTCTCTCAATTCTGTTTTGTATGTGAATCTTGTTATTGCGGAATAATATGAACCTTGTGGGTGAATTTGATCATGTTATGTATATTAACTTATGTCATCATATGTTCAAAGCATATAAGTAGACACTGGAGTTATGTTGTGTTAGAAAATATTAATTTTCCTTGAATGTTCTATTATCTTGTTTAGATGAGAATAATCTTATGATGAAATAATGTAGTGTAGTTGAAAATTGTCTTGGCCAATAGGTTGATGGACTTTCTAGGAATATCAAAAAAAACTGATAAGCTACATGAATTTGTGAAGAATACTAGGAATTTTTTGATAAAGCTTAAGGACAACTGAGTATGTAAGTGTAGCACTAAGGTATTGATAGTTTAAAAAAAAATGAGAATAAACAGTTTCAGTAGATACCATTGTGAAGATCAGTGTTTACAGCAACCAATGTAATGTTTCATGAGGTAATTGGAGGGACATGAAATTTTCATAAACAAAGTAATAGATCTTTGTGCCCAGCATAATTGTTTTTGTGTGAGAAACAGACTTTTGTTAGTATACGGTTTGATTAGTTACTTAATTTAATTTGATGATTATAGAACACTGTACACTTGGTGGTTTTTGATGATTTTTTATTGATCTTTTTTGGTAAAGACGTGTTAAAATTAATAATGATCATTGTTGTTAGTTTTTATTCCTTACTTGCATATAACCTTAGAACTTTGATAAGAATCTTCATTAAAGATCTGGACATCTATTTGGTGAAGCTCTTATTGAATTTTTCAATTTAATTAGTTCATAAATACACAAGTCTACATTATACTATATTGTTCCTAATCTTTCATTTGTGATCAGATATGGATAAAAGTTGGACTGCCCTAGGTAGGACGGCTGATATAAGGATGAGTAAACCATATAATGATGGGGTCAAGTTATTTCTTCAATTTGCAATGGGGGTTTTAGACCAGAATGGTAATATTTTGTGCCCGTGTATAAAGTGTGTGTGAATGTTTATAGACAAAATCTTCAAAATGTGGAAATT